GCACTACTACAGCCTAGCTTTATCCTGTTAGAACTGTAACAGCTGCTAGGAAGGCTATGTTAAGATAGGTAAGTCTATATTTATTCTTATGTCTTAAAGTAGTTATAAATTTAGTTAACTATCTTATTAAAATTATAAATACTATTACTATAGATATAATTAATATAGAACTAAAATACTTTACCTTTTAATATAATAAAAAAAGTAAGACTAAGTTAGTATTACTTAATCTTAACCTTACTGTAGTTATCTTAAAAGATACTTAACTTAAGATTAAGAATATTATATAACTTACTACTATACTTAGTTTTATCTACTAGTAGCTTTATAAGATTAGTTAGTTAATAGGGGTGTAGTTAGGAGAAAGAGATAAGTATAAATTTAGATCTATATAGTAGCTAACGTTATAACTTATTATAGCCTTATAATTAAAATCTCTATATAGTGCCCTAAGGTAAGAGGTTAGTAGTAAGCTTAAGGTAACTTAATAAATTAAATAGTATATCTTACTAAGGATTTACTTTATCTATTATAATAGGCTAACTACCTAATTACTTACTATACTAGTTATAATAAGGGTAATAAAGGTAAAAGGTTCTTAGGTTATATAATAAGGTATTAATAAATAAAGTGCTTATATTACCTTTAAGTACTAGGTTTAGATTAGTAAGTGCCTAGTAGATTTTATCTTATTATAAGAGTAAGGTTAGGCTATTTTACTCCTACTTTAGCTAGTAATAATCTACTATTAATAGATAAGTTAAGGTAAATAAGGTTAGCTACCTCTATAAAGTAGTATTAGCTATTATTTATAATAATATTAAAAAAGTAGTAGATAAGGCTTATTTAATTATTAACTTTTCTTTAGGTAAGATATACTAACTAGTAATATTATTAATAAATTTAGGGTTCTTTATTTATAAGTTAAAGATAGGCTGCTTATAGTAAGTAAAAGTAATATCCTCTTTAGTCTATATATAGAAATTAGCGTTAAGAAGGTCTACTAATTTAGGTGTAATCCTTCTTTTTACTAGATTAATAAAGACTTTATTATTAATAAGGTAGTTATAAAATATTAATAATACCTTAGTGCCTATAGTATTAAAGGTAGTAATAGTCTAATTTATAAAATCTAACTAAAAGGCAGTAAGAAGGCAGTAGCTATAGAGGTTAGTATCTAACTATATAGTAATTATATATATTATATATAATCTAACTTTATAGGGGTCTAACTTATTAAGATTAAAGTTAATATAGTTACCTTATATTATTAGATTAATATAGTAAATAAAGGCAGGTAGAAGAGGGAGAGGTTATAAGAGGTAAGATAGTAATAATAGTAATAGTAGAGGATATAAAAAGGAATAGATATTTATTATTTATTAGTTTAATAGCCCTATTATTACTAGTAGTAGCTCTCTATTTTTCCCTTTTTTATTTATTATTAATAAGAATTTAGTTAATATAGAGTAAAGGAGTAAGGAGGTAATAATAATAAAGGTTAAATTTATAGAGGATTATTTACTAATGACACGGTCTGATAGGTGATGGATTGGTTGACTATCTAGGAGCTAGGAGCTACAGCTGGTAACAGCCGGTCTTATAGACTGCTGACAGGTGGGGACAAGTGGGGCACCTATAGGGCCCACCAGTCGGCAGGGTATTGGCCTGACCGATAGATCTACCGGCAAGGCCGTAAAGTGGATCTAAGGTTGGCTATATTGTTCTGTGATAAGTGCCCCCCTTTAATTAAAATAATTATTATATAGCAATTATTTAGAAAAAGGCAGAAAAGGAAAAATAGCTAACTAGCAGTGTAATTAACTAATCTAACTATAGATCTTAGGTTCTTATAAGGCTGTTATAGCTATTATAGGAGGGGTATACCTAAGGGTTAGTAGTTATTATAGTCCTTATAGTCTTTCTTAGAGTATTTATTATTAGAGTATTTATTATTAGAGTATCTATTACTATACTTATCTCTATAGTTATTAAAGTCCCTATATCTCTTAGTGTTATCTCTAATAGTATTACTATTATTACTATACTCCTATTTATTATTACTGTTATGGCTTAGTAGGCTAGATAGATAGTACTCTGGCTGGCTAGGTTAATACATAGGCTGGCTGTGTAGCTAGGTGTAGGTGTCTAGGTATAGGCTTAGGTATAGGTATAAGGGCTGCGCTAGCGAGGCTAAAATAGCTAGTAAGGCTGGCTGGCTATAAGTAGCCTAGCTGTAAGTAGCCTAGCTGTAGGCTAGTAAGGTTAGTTAGCTATAAGTAGCCTAGGTTAATTAACCTAGCTTATAGGGATATTTATTATTATTATAGTAATAATCCCCTATTAAATAGATTAATCTGTTATTATTATCCTAGGGACTAGTCTCTGCTATATAGCTGCTGTTATTATCCTTATTATTTTTCTTATTATCTTCCTTATTATCTTCCTTATTGTTATCTAGGGTATTTTAACCTCTATACTAAGTAGCTTTATAAGGTGGCGCTAGTAGATAGTTAAAAGTATGTTACTTAAAGAGTTAACTTACTGCCTCTTAATCCTAAATCTACTAGTAAAGAGATTTACCTCTTAGTAGGTTACCTCCTCTAAATCCTAGCTGTTACTAGTACTAGTATTCTTAGGTATATACCTTAAAGTGTCTCCTTAGTGTATTTATATACTTATATACTAAGGGGTATAGGTTAGGTGTAGAGTAGCTAGGTGGCAGTAGTGTTAGTAGTAATAGTCTAATATATCTTAGCAGCAGTAAGGTGTTTCTTAGTAGTAGTAGTAATAATAGCGGCAGTAATAGGCTGCTACTTCTCTATTTAATAGCTGCCTTTTTATAAAGAGCCTTAATAGCTAGGTTAAATTTTATAGTAGTAAGGAGGGTTAGCAGCACTAGTAATATAGATTGCTTGCTTATAGAGGGTAGTAATAAGACTATTAATATTAATAGTAGTAATAGTAAAGTTAATAGTAAAGATAGCTAGGATAGTAATAGTAATAAGGGCTTATAGTCTAGTAGATAGTAGTAAAGGGTGTTTTAAAATATAAAGTCTTAATAGTAAATTTAGTAGTAGTGTTACTAGCTGTAGTTATTTACGTATATATAGCAAAAAAGCGCAGATTGTAAGGGAAATCTGGTATTACACTTCTAGCAGGGCTTAGGCTGGCGATTTTGCTGTCTCTTAAGCTCTTTAATTAATAGCAGCTCTAGTAGCAGTGGATTTAATAGATTAACAGGTGAAAAAGAGGGTAAAAAGGAGTATAATAAAGGAAAAGAAGGGTAAAGAAAGTAAGGTTATTAAACGTAAGGGTGTTAGCTAGAGGGATAGCGGCTCTAGCTGGTTTAGGAGGTCTGGCGATAGCCGGGCTAGCAGGCAAAAAACTTTACTAGTAGGCGTATATTAGCGACTAGCTAGTAAAAAAATATAGGCTTCTAATTAGTTACCTAGATAACTAATTAAATAGCTCCTAGTAATTAGCGTATTTACCTCTTATTAGGTAATTAACAGCAGCAGAGGGTTAATACCTATAGATTATAACGTAGTTGTGCTACTACTTGACACGGTCTGATAGGTGATGGATTAGTTGCCTATCTAGGAGCTAGGAGCTACGGCTGGTAACGGCTGGTCTTATAGACTGCTGACAGGTGGGGACAAGTGGGGCACCTACGGGGCCCACCGGTCGGCAGGGTATTGGCCCGACCGATGGATCCACCGGCAAGGCCGTAAAGTGGATCCAAGGTCGGCCATATTGTCCTGTGACAACTAATAGGCTAGTTAATCCTCTCTACTCCTAGTAAAATAAACCTTACTAATCTATTTAATAGTAGTAATCTTATAATTTAATTATATACTAATTAGTGTTAGTTAAATTATATAAAAAGGATATCTTATAGATTATATAACAAATTATAATATAGAATGTAGTAGTTACTTGTTATATTAGTTAGTTATAAAGTGAATCTAGACTTTTAGGTGGTATACTAGTAGTAAGGTAGATACTGCTAAGGGAGGCGGTGTGTCACGTAAATATCACGTGACCACCCCCCCAAAGCATACCTACCGTATACTAACAGTGACTATTGTTCAAATATCTAACTTCTCGTTACGAACATGCTCCAGCAAGTCTGGTCTATTATAGGCATTGCCGTGACTACTCGAAATGTAAGCTACAACCAGCTTTCCAACACCACGTTGAACCTCGTGTATAGCGTTATCGTATGGAAGAAAAGTGAGGCGAACTAGTGGATAATAGGGATTCAACTATCTACGTATGGAGTGGTAGTATCAACATAGAATATAGATCGTGGATTGTGGGAATACGCCGAGTGACTCGTCAAGTTGATACAAGTACTAATTTCGTATTACAGCATATGATAAGGCTGTCAATTGGCCTGCTCGGAAATCAGCCATACTCTTATTCATAGTTGACGGAGTCTTACAGACCCTGGAAGACAAGGCAGGCTATGTCATTCTTACCTCGCGCACTCAGCCCAGTATTATTCAGGTTGTACGTAGAAGCTTCTCAAATATTCCCAGTTCCACGCGGGTACCAACTGGACCTTACTTCAGTAGGACTTCCTCCTGTGGCTCCCTTTGATGGTGCAGCAATTATGTGGGCAAGGTGTCTTGAGGATCTCGGTGCTGTGTGTTTTTCCGGCAAATGAGTATAAACTACGACGCAAAATAACTATTCTACTCTATATATTCTCTGATTCCGGGTATAATGCCATTGTGGTGCCGGGTGAAGAGATGTTTTGAAGCGTATCGAGGCCGTTCATATGATCGGCTGGGACGGGGATAAGTTTGCGTCTGAGGACTTTCAATAGAAGAATGAGTAAACAGCACGTGTGTTTTCAAAGTTGTAACTTGCTGAAGTGTTTGTGTCTGCTAGGTAGCGTGGTTGTGTTGAGTAATCAAGTGATAGACTAAGATGTCTGGATGAGCACCTACCTACGTCAGGACCACTAAAAGAAGACAGCGTACATCTACCTCCTAGTAGATGGGAAGAAGCTGGACTACAGTACAACCGTAAAGGGGCCTCTGGCCCCATGCAAAGAAGCTCAAGAATATATATTCCCTCCCGCACGCCATGAATGCGCCATTGAAATCGGGACCCATTTCTCCAGGATAATACACGCCGTTTGTCGTGAGAGTCAGACCCTGAGTACCATCCAAACACTTCAACTTCACAGGTCTACCGCTTGGTACCGTCGCAGTCGCACGCCAGTGTAAACCCATGCCGGCAAATAGAGGCGATTCATCTTCAAAGTAAAGCCCAATCGTATTGTTCTTGGCATAAAAAGTAGACCCTTGGTTGGCGGGAACCAGAATGACCTCCGCTTGGCACTGGCTACTGGATGCGTAGCTAAGCTCGTAACCCTGAACAGCAGAGCCCCACTCTGGGCCAAGATCGGGGTAAATCATGTTAGCCCAGAGGCGGAAGCCATTGGTACCGTCAGCGATTTGCGTGGGAAGGCTGGCTGCTATTGCAGTGACTGCAAGAAGGGCCGTTTGAAGGAGGGTTTGCATAATTCTTCAGAGGTTGAGAAGTAGGTTAGGGTCCAAGGTATCAAGGTTGTTAAGAAACTTTCTGTTTTAAGAATGATATTGAGATAATAGTCCGAGTCTAAGTACTGAAACGACTTGACTTGTTTATGAGAACCTCCGTTCTTTTTATACTAATCTCAAAACTTATTATGTGCATCCGCTATGTCTAGTCTCTGCATTATCCTTGTAAGATGACAGTCTTCCTGCAGATTCAACCCAAGAACCTCGTACAAAAGCCCCCCGAGATAGTTCTATTTTCCAATATTCTGCGGTCAGTAGCCGGCCAAGGCTGACGTGACCTGCCTTGATGGAACGCTCTTCACCTCGTATTATCCTCCTGGCTATATTACGTGCATATGCCGTAAGATCAGACACCTAAGCGAAGGGAAAGAAGGGGAAAGCCTAAGCAATGTGCAAAACAAATACGAGCCCCTAGGTCAAGGTTTCCGTCACTCACGTAGAATTATCAGATATATCCCGCACTACGCCTACGTAATTGCTTACACCCATTAGCCTAGGAGCTACCGCCTTAAAGCATCAAACACTTAACCGCTATACAAACAGCCGGTAAGCCGCATGGTTGCTTGCATAATTATAATAGCGGCTGACAGTAACTAGCTGTATCAGTAAACAAAACGTCTGTCAGTGCAAGCAACTATGTCTACGTTGCTGTCAACCCTGCTTGTAGAGACCACCAGGCTGCGCTCGGCGGCTTATGCCAAATTGTCTGGATGTTCCGCGACACCATGCCACAATACGTCTACAATACGTCCATACCTCTCGCCTATTCTACAACCTAGAGGTGGAAGACCCCCCGAAACGTGTTTCGTCTAATTAGCTGGGTTATCGTGGTGGGCATTGTTAAGGTGTCAGCCGCCTGACTCAATATAAGTAGTTGAGCTGGATTGTTTATTAAAGGCCACAACACTGAAGGAAGTAATATTTGCACTAGTGCGACAACTTGTAGGAGGGGTTTATTTCCTTGATCCTCCTGGACGACGCGAATCCTTCAAAAGCTTTAATTTACAAGCTAATCATACTAAGTTGGCCTGATATAAGAAAGTACGCCTATAGTATCAATATAGGAGGATTTGCGTTTAACACTGACAGCAGTGACCCAGACTATTGCGAAATCTGGCCTGTGTTGGTGCTCTAAGCAGCGCAATATTGGAGATATGTGCGCGGGACGACACTCATTACTTTCAACTGACTGGTATTAACATCGCCGTCACCGTCGCCGTGGCCGAGGCCAAGGCCTGACCATGACCCCACAACTCCTTCATCTTTGTGTGGCATTTACGACATAGCACAGCCCCCCCCCCCCCCCCCCCCCCGGACAAAGAGGTACGTACCTGACGAATTTCCAAGTCTCCACACCCCGCGATGTCGGACGCAGCGACGCATCTGCACGTCAAGCTTCCTCTCCAATTGCCTCCAAAAAAGTTCCCCGGCAACTCAGACAACCTCGGGCACGCTCCCCAGATCCTCCTCCGCCCACAATGTCGACCGCGACCAGTGCCACCGCGGCGACCAAGGATGAGTCGCAGCCCGTCAAGAAGGGCGGGCCCACGGTCCTGCGATCCATTCTGGCTGGATCTTCGGCCGGCGCTGTTGAGATTGGTGAGTCGCGGCGACGAAAGACGGGGACGCACATCGAGCAATGCTAACCGCCTCGACAGCCATAACATACCCTGCCGAATGTAAGACCCTCCGCGATCGATAAACCGCCGCGATTGACCTTAACAATACCCGAAAGTTGCCAAGACCCGGTCACAGTTGAATCGGAACTTGACTGCTGGACAAAAGCTGCCGTGGCCGCCCTTTGGAGCGCAGTGGTATGCCGGGTGCACGACGTTGATTATTGGAAACTCGCTCAAGGCCGGTATCCGTACGTGGCCCAGCGACGGCTGTGAAGCGACTTGGAGGCGGCTGACTTTCAATCGACAGGATTCGTGGCCTTTGACCAGTACAAGAAGCTGCTTTCCGACGCCGACGGTAATATTTCCGGCCCCAAGACTGTTATCGCCGGCTTCGGCGCTGGTGTGACGGAATCAGCCCTTGCCGTGACACCGTTTGAGAGCATCAAGACGACGTTGTGCGTAATCAACTGAATGTACGTGAATTGGCCTGCTCCGCTGCTGACCTACCGTCTCAGGATCGATGACAAGAAGTCCGGAAAACCCCGTATGCGCGGCTTCCTCAGTGCCGTTCCCATTATCGCACGCGAGCGTGGACTCCGTGGCTTCTTCCAAGGCTTCGTACCGACAACGGCCCGACAGGCGGCGAACAGCGCGGTACGGTTCAGCGCATACAACATGCTCAAGCAGATGGCCGAGTCGTACACGGCGCCGGGGGAGAAGCTGGGCGCCGTCGGGACGTTCGCCATGGGAGGCATCGCCGGCGTGATTACGGTCTATGTCACCCAGCCCCTTGATACGATCAAGACGCGCATGCAGAGCATCTCGGCACGGACCCAGTACGGCAATTCGTTCCGGTGTGCGGCCATGATCCTCAGGCAGGAGGGCGTGCTGACGCTATGGAGCGGCGCGCTGCCGCGTTTGGCGCGTCTAGTGGTGAGCGGCGGTCTGGTGTTTACCATGTACGAGAAGAGCATGGACTTCATGGACAAGATGGATCCCGAGGGAAGATACATCTAAAAAAAAAAAAAAAAAAGATTGCTTCAAAATCTATTGGTGTCGAGGTTCTAGGTTTTGGTATAGACGCTATACAGGGTACAGATGTTGTACATGATATCATACACAGGCCAGGCGGCTGCGCCCACCCATTTCATTCAGGCGGCCCATGTTCTGCCGTCCGTTCGTCCGCCCACACCGTTCGACGCGTCGGTGTTTAATCTGGGCTTAATACACATATATATGTATGTGTGTGTGTGTGTGTGTGTGTGTGTGTGTGAGCGAGTGTTTCGTGCTCCCGATCGGCTATTCGAACCGGAACATGCCTGACAATTTCTTGGACATGTTCTTCAGCCATCCTCTGGTAGGGGCCTCCTCGAGCTCTCTCAACAGGTCTTGGAAGTAGGTCGGCTGGCTCGCGGGCTTGAGAAGTTGGCCATTGAGGGGGAACTGAGATAGATTGGTCAGATGGTTTCGGGGGTTACAGGTAGAGTGAGGCGTTTGTCGCTTACCCTCTTCTTGAAGCGATCATCAGCCAGGGCGAATAGCGCATTCGCCTGCTTGAGCTCGTTTGCCTCGTCGACGACGTTGGGCGCTGTGTACCTCCTCTCGATGCCTCTCTGGATGATCTCGTTGAACTGGGTCTCGGGGCGGAGGTTGTCCTTGGGCCACAGGGCAAGGGCGGTGCGAAAGTGCCTGTACGCTTGCTGTAAAAGGGAGAAGGACGTGTTAGTGACGTGACGAGAGGTGTGGGCGAAGGGCGAGGGGAGAGCAGAGAGTGAAGGGGAGGAACATACGCTCGTTGAGCGTGCCATGGTGGCTGCGTGCGATTTGGAGATATGTGAATGGGTCTATCGAGTCCCGTCTGTCATGGTCTCGCCGCGGGGAAGGTGGCAGGCGCCGGAGGGGTGGATGCGACAGAGGGCAATAGCTCAGAATCCCATCAACGACGTCAAGGATTTTGCATCAGATGGCAGACATGGAAGAATTCATTTGTCGGAGCCAAGGGGATGCACTGCGCCGGGACTAAGCCGCATTAGGCCATAAGAGGAAATGAAAATTGAATGGGGGCATCGAGACATCTATAATTGGCCACACAGATCTTGGATAGATAGATACGTACTCCAGTTCCGACGCAATCGAGGTCATGCGCATGACTTTGGCCTGAGGCATAACAGTCATCCCGTGTCCGTTTCCAGGCGAGCCCGGAATGAGGCAGCCGTTGGCTCGGAGGCAATAACCATTCCCAAGCCCGGGTGCCTTCTTTCCTGTTCCCCCCTCGATTCATTCCAGTACGGAGTACCTTCTCTCCTAACTGCCTACCTACACTCCGTAGGCAGTGTAGTAATCGCTGAGTACGTAATCGTATCCCCTTGCTCCCTCCTTGGATCACCCCCCAGAGCTGGTGACACAGTGACGCTCGTCGCACACTCCATCTCCACTGTCACAGGGGGGCCAAACAGGGTCCCTTTAGCGGCAAATGCCTTGTATTATGTAACCCTCCGTCTCCCTGACTGACCGGACATGCAGATTAGCAGTGAGGCGAAGCGAACAGTGAGCGCCCGGGGTCGTGCGACAGGTGCTGAATACACACTGACTCTCCTCTCCGTCTCTGTCTCTGCATTTGTCTCTCATTCTCATCACCTTCAACCCACAAACCCGAAACCAAGCCGACCTAAGCTGATGGCGTAGTTTTTCCAGTCGCTGCGACCATCACCCTTATTTCCTCTGTTTCTTCAGCAACAACATCCTCGTCGCTCCTTTATTCGCTTATTATTTCGTCTTGCCTCGACTTCTCCATTTTCCCCTGCGATTCCTCCTCCGGGATTCCCTTTGCTAACTCCGATCCCCCTACGATTACCGACAACCCTCGTCTTCTTTCTCTCCTCCAACACCGCAACGCTACTTGTCTCGTCCTTGGTGGCGAAAGGGGGTTGCCCGAGTCCTTCGGTTTCAAGACAACAAAATACCATACAACACTCCTCAAAATGGCTGGACGTTATGAGAGGGTAAGTAATGTCAATCGGCTTTCGCCTTTCGCTCTTTCTTGATTATTAACAACTTACTCACCCGTTTTTAGGTGAATGCCCAAGACGAAGACGACTTCAACAGCCTTAACCCCGCTCCGTCAAGACACCCGCAGCCCATACCAAACTCGCCTCCTCCTTCCTTCCACTCGAGAGCGTCTTCGCGCGACCGCGATGCCCGCCGAGTCGACACGACGCTCGCCGACGCATTCGATACCGACGGTGACGATAGCGATGACGACGCCGACGACCGACAAAGATTAGTCCGCGCTGACTCGTCCCTCGCCTCGGCCGACGCGCAGCGCAACCCCTCCTCCGATGGGAGACCCCACACTGATAGGCAGATCACCCAATTTCCCCCCTCGACGACAGCATCGGCTGCCGATGCCCCTGCGACTCCGTTCCGCATCTACGGTAGCGGCATCCAGAATGAGGGCGTCTTTTCCAACTTGACGGCCAAGCCGGAACGTGGTGGCCAGACGAAGGAGGAGCAACCTCCGGTACGTCCGACTCATTTCTTCAACCCGAACATGTCCTGTCTTTGGCATACTAACATTCTACCCTAGACGTATGAGCAAGCCGCTGCCGATGCGGCGCCGCCTTACTGGGAGACGACCATTCTGGCTCCCGGCCTCGGCGGGCCTGATGAAGTTTACATCGACGGCATGCCGGTCGGGTCTCTCTTCAGCTTCCTTTGGAACGGCATGATCTCCATGTCGTTCCAGGTCGTCGGCTTTATTCTCACCTACCTTCTCCACTCAACCCACGCCGCCAAGAATGGATCGCGTGCTGGTCTCGGCGTCACTCTAATACAGTATGGTTTCTATATGAAGGGCACGACGGAAGGCGACCGGCCGCCCAAGATGAACGGCCAAGACGGATACGCTGCACCGCCGGACCCCAACTCGCACAACTTTGACCCCAACGCGGTGACGGGCGAGGGCGGTGGCGGCGTGACGGACATTACGGGACAGGAGTGGATCGCGTATATCTTGATGGTAGTTGGGTGGTTCATTCTCATCAGGTCTCTCAGCGACTATTTGAAGGCGCGGCGCCATGAGCAACTGGTTTTGCAGAGCCCCGACCGCGGGCTGCCAGTGCCCATCATCGCCGATGGCGAGTCTTCGGAGAGGGTGGTATAGCATGGGCGTTTTCATTTTTTCATGTGCCGTGTAGATATTGGATCCACGCGTCTACGACATGGGCATTGAACTGTTTCCTTGAGTGTTGCAGACTTTCTTGGAGTGTTTTTTGAAGGGATAGGAACTGGGCGCAGGGTAATCCACGCACGGGACAGGGAGCACACGTTTAGGTGTCGTCCTTGACATCATCAATGCCGATTTTCGTTTCTAGTTTTTCTTGTGTACTTTGCTATGCTTATTGATCTACCCATGTGCTATGAAGCTGTTGCTGTCGCTGTTGGCGGTACTTTTCCCGAATGGTATGATACAACTCGACTTCCACAACAGTCTTGTTGATCCAAGGTCCCGGTCAGTTTCGTTGAAGCCTGAGATGCCCAAGGATAGGTAGGTAGGTATATAGGTGTATGGAGTGTTTGCAACGGGATGGTGCGCATGGCATGGCGGGGTCGAGAGTTCAGCGCCCATCAACAAGGTTTCCAGGAGGGGAAGAAAGGTTTGGGGTGTGACAGCGCCATTGGGGTCGGTGGCACTGGAGACCGAGCGTGGGGCCATCTACCAACGGCCTAGGTACATAGCTAGGTACCTACCTAGGATAGGTAAGTACAGTCACAAACAAGTAAGTAACTATAGGTACTTTACACCCCTCACTGTCACTGTCACTATACTGTCACTGCTGGAAGCTCGGGAAACATTGGGAACAATGCACCATTCCACGCAAACCCATTGAACTTCTTAACCTCCTCTCCGCTGCCTTCACAACTCAATTATAACTACAACTACCCCGACCTGTGGAATGCGACTATTCCACCCTCTTTGTGATTTTTGAACATAAAAAGTAAACGCGAAGCGAAGCACCCGCAGAGCCTCCACACGTGTCCGCCACCACGATTCCTCGACGCCCATCGACCGGGAGAGCTCTTCAGCTCCTCTGGAGCTCGACATCTATCAACCTTACCGCCCGCTTCTTGCACCAGAAACCCGACCTTGACTTCACTATGGCGTGGCGGAGCTCAGGCGCAACAAACCAGGAGCTGATCGACAACATGTGGAATCGTGGGCTCATCAAGGACCAAAGGGTTAAGGACGCATTCCTCAAGGTGACTCCCCTTTCTACCACGAGCAAGCCGTTCGACTCCTCCGCCTGAACCGCTGTTGAAACCGTCATGAACTCAGGTCGACCGCGCACACTACGCCCCCAACGCACCCTATCAGGACTCCCCCCAGTCCATAGGCCACAAGGCCACCATCTCGGCCCCCCATATGCACGCCACCGCCGCCGAATCCCTCCTCCCGTACATTGTCCCTTCAGAGAAGAAGCCTGCGCCGCGCGTGCTCGACGTCGGGTCCGGGTCCGGGTACCTGACCCACCTTCTCGCCGAGCTCGCGGGGGAAAAGGGGCTCGTCGTAGGGCTGGAACACATCCAGGCACTGCGGAACCTCGGCGAGAAGAACATGGCCAAGAGCGCCGACGGAAGGTCCTTGTTGAAGACTGGCCGGGTGAGGTTTCGCGTCGGCGACGGGAGGAAGGGGTGGGTAGAGGCGCCTAAGGAGGGGGAAGAAGAGGCCGGAACTGGCTGGGACGCCATCCATGTCGGCGCCGCTGCGGTGGAGCTCCATCGGGAGCTGGTGGACCAGCTCCGTACGCCCGGGAGGTGCGCTGCCCATTTCCCCGTTCCGTCCATGAGCCGATTCTCACTGAAGCAATAGGATGTTCATCCCCGTCGAGGACGACAACGGCCAGGGCCAGTATGTGTGGGCCATTGACAAGAGGGAAGATGGCTCTGTTGTCAAGGAGAGGCTGTTCGGGGTTCGATACGTGCCTCTGACTGATGCGCCTAAGCCGTAAACCCATATGGAACTACGATGGTTACGATTTACAATTTGCAACGACCATGTACGATATACTACACGATCGATGATGAACCCGGAATCCAGGCCAGCATGATAGATGGAGAAAGCAGCGGCTCTGTATGTTGCTATAGCTTCGATTTTACAATGAGTCTGCTGCGTCACTTGAACAACAGACGTCGAGTACTGCGCTGACTGGACTCTTAACATTCTATGTATCCTTTTATTAAATTCAACTGTCTCTCCTATGCCTAGGAGCAGGAGACAACACTGCGAGCATGATTGGTATACATGATCCCCTTAAGCAGTGTTGATTTACCAATGCTAGCTTTCATATCGTCTTGCAGGCGACATGACGTATGTGTTAGCGACTTTTGGGCACCGTGGGTTACCCGGCATATGAATGCAAGCTGCGACCCCGCCGCCAATAGTCAACGTCTTCGTCCCTCATACCCACCAGTGGAAGTAGCCTTCCCGAGAAACTGTCGAGATGAAACTTTTGGTAACCAAGCAGGTGAGGCGGCCTCTCTGAGGCTTTGTCCACTATGAATGAGACAACGCGCCAGAGTTTGCCATACTCTCCCACACCTGGGGGGAGGGACGGAGTCGCCCTGCAGAATGCCTGCGATCCGCAGGACATAATATCGATGGCTGGGTGCAGCGAAATCTAGGGCAACTGCAAATTCGCCCAGAGCCACGGATACGACTACATCTGGATACGCACTTGCTGTATCGACAAGACGAGCAGCGCGGAGCTGTCCGAGGCCATCGACTCCATGTTCGGCTGCTACGAGCAGGCAAGTGTCTGCTATGCTTTCCTCTCTGACATGAGCTGGCCCTCGGACCGGGGCCCCGGGGAAGACTGCACCGTCAAAGGCATTGTTGCGAGACTGTCGAGGTCGACAGGTTGGGGAGGGAAGGGTTGGAGGATCGACTGCTGCGCTCCGCCACAACCGCATGGCTCTAGAAACCAAGGGAAGAGGGTGCCTTGTCTGTTGGGCGACGAGAGAGTTAGATCTTCTGGTCGTGGAAATCGAAGGTCATGTAAGCGCTCGAAGATTCTGTAGAGGATGGTCTTAAGGCGCAACAGAAGATGGCACATTCATACATCGTGGCCAAAGATATCAAGTCTGACCCAGTTCCTCCTCCTTCGCCACGTCGGCTTGCCTCGAGTTCATGACCCCGCTGAGGTGCGTGTACGCCATCACCACTCTGGCAATCTGCGGCATGTCCTTGATGCTCAGGAACGCCTGGCCGTGGTCCTTGCCGTCGAGGTACATCAGCTCCATCTCGCCACGGCCCGTCCATCGAGCGGGCGTCGTGGCCCACTCGATCTTGTCGTACCGGGTGTATTTGAGGTCGCCAAAGTAAACGTAGCTCGCCACGGCGTCCGGGTCCGTGACGCAATCCTCGCCGCCTAGGACCACCGTCGTGCGCTTGCCCTGCAGCTGCGACGTCCAGAGGATGAAGTCCTGCCAGCGGAAGCGGCGGGCGAGCGTGTGCGCGACCATGGGGTCCGTGGCGACGAACCAAATCTCCCACTCGTTGCCCCATCTCGGCTTCCGCCGGGTGAAGTTGTAGGTCACGGCGGGGAGATGGAGTAGTAGCGAGACGGGGTCGATGAGCACGACGGAGTCGATCTTGGCAGCGATCTCGGGCCTCTGCAGCAGGGGCGACACGAGGAGGGTGCCGAAGGAGTTGCCGACGAAGACAAAGTCGTTGTAGTTCTGCTGCTTGATGATGGCATCCATGCCGTCGACGAGCTCCTTGGTGGTCTGCATGGGCGGGCAGATGCGCGAAGAGACCGGGAGGATCTCGATGGCGAGGACGCCGACGTCTTTGGGAATGCTCCACAGCCAGATGAGGTAGGGGAGCATACCGACGCCGACGCCGTGCATGAACAAGATGGGCCGCTGGGTGGTGGACGTGTGTGGGCGGACGAAGTAGCTCAGCGTGGGGTCGGCCGACTCATTGGGCGAGAACAGCGTCATGGGCCGCCAGGGGAAAACAGAGAAGAAGGTACTGCGGGGTTGGCGGTAGAACTTGAAGCCTCTGATGAACAGAACGAGGGTCGCGAGGAAGTCGAGCGAGCCCGTCATCTGCAGAGACATGTCAGTCGGGGGGAGGGACCTCGCGATGCTACTCACGGCGGCTGAGACTTACAAGGTAGAAGAACAGACTTCGATGAGTGATGTCGACGGGGTCGAAGCTGAGGCGCATCGGGGTGGAATCGCCGTAGCCTTGCTTAATGGCTACGCCGGCCCGCTCCTCGGCATCCGCGATGTACTCCTCCAGCTCCTCGTCGTGTTCCCCCGGATTGCCCTGCTTATCGAACAGCGCCCACATCAACCAGTCTTTGACATTTTCCCTACGGATGTCACTCAAATGGGCGTTACCGTGCCACTTGCGGATGTACTGCTCAATATCTGGCGCATGGTCCAAGCCTTGGGAGAAGAAGCGGCGACGCTCCTCTCGCGTTAGCTCCGTCGGTTGGAGCCCGGGACCTTGCAGTCGGCGACGGTAGGGGACGAACCAAGCAAAATAGAAGATGATTTCGATAGCGCCGATGACCTCAATGGCGATGGATACGGGGTGGGCGATGCCGGGTACGCCGGCGAGGGCGAAGATGAGCCAAAAGTAGAGAAAACAGAGGAGGCCCAGATATTGGAAGAACACCACCATGGACCTCACGAGGATAAGTTCGGGGACCGACTTTCCCACGAGCATCTTGCTGAGGGGGAGAGCTAAGTCAACGACAAGCGCTAGCGACTAAATAGTTTGCTGGGGTAAGAAGAAGCACGCGAACCACGAAACGTATATTGGCATGGACGACGTCCTGTCAAAAAAATACGTTGTAAGACGGAGGAGTGCAGCGGTGGGCGTGCCGCGATCTTAATATTGGCGGGCAACGCAGGGCAACCGTTTGATGGGTCTTGCGTCACAGATCAACGAACCGGCATGGATACAGCATGCAAAGAAAGGTCGCCCCGAGGACTTTCCGCTTCTCCACGCTTGTGATTTCGGAAGTTTGCGTGGTGGTCCTCAAGTTTGCAGCTAGAACCTTCAGCCGCGTTCTCTGCGCGTCCGGACACTTGCCCTGGCTGCGAAGGAAACGGGTGCGAAGGTTGTGGGGGCTAACATTGGGACGAAACTCAAACGATGCTTTTTTCCGGCGCAGCCAGCTGGCCAATCCTTGAGGAGGCCTGCTTGCGTTATGGTCCCAGCAACAGAGCCAGCATCGGCACACGAAGCCAGAACGAAACGACACAGTCTGTGCTGGAGAGAACCCGGTAGGATCGACCAAGGGGAATGCGAGCATGATGCAGGGAGCTGCCTGTACCACGAGGGCCAGTGAGGCTCCTGGGGTTTAGGAATGGTGGATGGGTTCAAAGCCGGTCGCCCAATGCAGATGATGTATCCGTATTCGCGTGAGGGACTACTGCGAGGGGGCGGTATCTGGTCTCCTTGGAAAAGTCAGTCAGTCCTGCGGAGGAGGGTGCCTGGCTGTGACAGGCCAACTCGACATATGCCGTCTCTAATCTCTATTCACATGGAACCGTGGAAACGAGTAACAGTTTCGCGTTGTTCTGATGCACGGATTCGTATACGGACAGGCGAGATCGAATAGGTAGCCAAAATAGCAATAGCTGACGCGTTATTGGAGGCTTCCCCTCTGGTTCAAACATCATGACCTAGGATCAAGATCTTAGCTGAACTCAGGAGTGAACACAGCTCGTTTGGCTTTACCTTGGGAGTCGCAGGGAGTTTCGGTTGTTGGACGGAGACGCACAGGCACACACACAGGGTAGGAGACGGACTGACTTTATGCGCCTATGCGTCACGAGGGAAGGGGGATGAGATACGTACTCTGTTGGTCAGGCATGGTGACCTTGTTCTGTATTCGGTTTAATGCCAAGCAGCTCACGGAGCCACTTTCCTTTAAAATAACCCTATCCGGTTTGCCGGTCTACCGTAGAGACCCACTGCCACGTGATGGTGTATCCACATCAGGTACGTACCTGCTTGTACCTAAGCTACAAGTGTGAACGTGGCTGGGTTTTGCCCGTCTCTGATTGGACGCCACCATATTCAAGCGGAGGAACATTCCAACCGCATTCCAGCCTTGCTGACTCCCTTTGGCCGTTTCTTCTCTTCAACCTTGGTGTTGAACGCTGACTCGGCACAACTATGCTCTCTCACGACCCATCGTGGCTTTCGTCTCTCGGAGGGTCTTCTGAACCACCCTCAGATGGGATAAAAGCGCTTGGTATTCCTCGCTCTGCAAAGAAGAAATGGAAAGGTTCTCTCTTTCATCTTCCTCCGGCTCAAATCTCTCTTTGAACCATTGTATTCTGCATCTGGGCCATGTTGATATCATTGTGCCTCATCGTATTTCATCGGCCACACCACGCAACCATCTCTGTCACTCGGCGATTCAAAAGCTTATCTGTGGATCACCGTTCCAGCCCATCTGCCTCTCCCCCCACCAGCTCCAGACTCATTGCCCCGTCAGCTCCCCATTCGCATCCGTAATCGGTTGCGTCCCGGCACAGATCACCTTACGTCATGTCATCCGCGAATCCCAAGACTGTTTTGTTCCTCGGAGCCACCGGCGGCTGCGGCCTGTCAGCCCTGCGCCGCTCCCTTGACGCTGGCTTCACGTGCATCGCCCTGTGCCGCACCCCCTCTAAGCTGGCCTCCATCCTGCTGCCTGAACAATATCCCAACCTGCGGATTGCGCAGGGAAACGCTCACGATGCCGACGTCGTTGCCCGCCACCTCGTTTCGCCTCTAGACGCAACCCGCTTCGTTGACGCCGTCGTCTCCTCCATATGCGCAGGATGAACCTTGAAGACGTCCACGTGTGCGAAAAGGGCATGGCCGTCCTTCTCGATGCCGTCAGAAAGCTGCGCGCAGAGAAGGGTGTCTCTGGGAACCCGCGCGTCCTTGGCCTTAGCAGCACCGGCATCTCAAAGTTTGCCAGGGATACGCCTTTTATCATTGCGCCACTCTACAAGGGACTGCTGCACGTCCCGCATGAGGACAAGCGCGCTATGGAGGAGCTGTTGTTTGCCAGCAACGAGGCTTGGACCGTCGTCCGTGCCAGTTTCCTCACCAACGGCAAGGAGCAACCGTCGGGTGCTGTCCGGGTTGGCGTTGAGGACCCCGTCAAGGGCGTGGAGCAGCTTGCTATTGGGTACTCCATTTCGCGCGAGGATGTCGGCCGGTGGATATTTGAAAACGTTCTCCAGAAGGATGGCAACGATGAGTTCGTCCGCAAAGTTGCAACCATCACTTACTGAGCACTTCTTCCTCGCAGCTCTCCTTTCCTGTCTGACAGAAACGCCCTCTTCCCCTGATACGTTTACTTTACGGGCTATTCACCTTTACCAGTTAATGTAGTAATGAACACCTTCCATACACGATCGAGATGCCACGATTCATCCTTTTTTGTGGGAAGGCTGCGCAAACCCTCTTCGTCTTAGTCCGCCTATGCTTATCCTCGTCTTCTCGGAGCTCGCTTGCACGGGTAATGGGTCTAGCATCAGCATCGTTTTTGAAAGCAGCCTACTTCATCGTGCGTCTGAGAAAGCGAACGAAATCGTCGACGCCTTCAGGCTCGGTTATCCAGTGGCCGCTATATTCGTACTTGTGCCACTCGACGTTTGCTTTGTCCACGTTGCGGAAAGTGTCTCGCAAAACTGGACCTGGTTATCTATTGCATGAGCGAGGAAGACGGTGGTAGCCTCAATCTCACCCACGTAATCGGACTTTGCAGTTGACCGGGGCTCTTTATCGGAGCTTCCGGATGTCGCTAGTATTGGGTTGGCCCAGCTCGAGAAGCCTAGGACACAACCCAACCTCTGCTCGTCGGCCAGCTAGGCTGCACGGCCGAGAAAGAACTTCGGCCAGGTCATCCGATATTTCGCTCTCATAAAACTCGCTCGCTCAGTCGTAGCCGCTGCTGTCTCGTGCATGGAGAAGGATGACGGTGTGTACATACCTATGCTGGCAACCATTTGCGGGGTCAATAGTGTACAGTGGCCATGACGGTCCTTCTCCAGCAGATGAGTCCATGGTATAGTTTTTGAGAATGCTTTCTAGATGAAATGATATAGGCGCAGCGCGTCGAACGACAGAAAAATGTCGTAATCGTATTAAAAGGAAGAAAGTTGAAATACCTCATCTCCCCCTAAAGCAACATGGACTGGTCTAGTTGTATACACGTTTCCCCCGCTGGGTCCGTTCCAAAAACCGCACAAGTGGTTGACGAATCAATATTAACGTGTCAACTGTGGGGCTAGGAATTAGTGCAAGTGTTTGAGGCTATCCGCGCAGACAGCGCAATGACATAACATAAGAAGCGTGAAAAGCGCTTATGAATCTCATTCATTCACCCCCCCTTTTTTGGCAAGCCCCTATCATCGTGTGCCCAATCGCACCCACAAGTTTACGACTGGATGGATAGGAATACCCTATGGTTCCATCAATCCTGCTTGCTCGGCGCTGCGGAAGTCCGTGATCGAGTACGGTTATACATGCCGTGTGCTGTATAATGAGGGGGCCAAAGAACCAGATTCTCGGCGCCACATATATACCCGACCCGAATAAAGATCTGGATCATCAAAGTTGATACATTATTGGCCAAATAATACGGTGACATCTTGATCTTAGCCGTATATCAGCTTATGCTGTTCAAGCCTCACCAAGATTGAATTCCATCTTTGTTCACAACCTTTCCAACATCAGCATCCCGCTCACCCTCCACGGCCTGTTTGATCAGAAAGCCACCCTGTCTTGGTTCGCCCGCGCCCATCTCCTTTAACTGTTCGGGGTTTCCACCCAGGCCAGTGGCTAGGAACCCTGGAGAGATGCACCACACCTTGACACCGTCGGCCTTAAGCAACCAGTGCCAGTTGAGCATGACCATGTTGAGCGCGGTTTTACTTGAGCGGTATCCTGCCTGTCCCGTGAAGGGCTTCGGCCAACCCGCCGATGGGACGCCCTGGGGCTGAAATGGCAACAAGCCAAGAGTTTCGATGCCGTGGAGGTTGGAGAGACCGCTAGTTACGAACAAAATGCGGGGTCGGAGGATTTGAGAAGAAGAGGGGCGAATACGTGAGTGATGACATGCGTGCCTGTCGTATTGACATCATATGATTTGTTGAAGTTTTGCCGGAGGGTCTTGATATCCTCTGGGTTGTAGTTCTGCGGGTTGAAGTCGTGACTAGCGCCTATTATTCATTGGTTAGACGAGAAACATACTCGTCATAGCGGTATTGGAATGTTTGGCCCAACATACCAGCACTGTTTACCAAGACATCGAGGACCCCGTGCTTGTCCTTAATGCTCTGAAAAGCCTTTACTATGGAATCGTCGTCCACAATATCGACCTGTAGGACTTCTAGAGAGCTGGTAGTAGATGGAAACTCTTTTTCAAGTTCGGAAATAGCAACTGCGCCCTTGTCAAGAGACCTCGATTCCATGATGATGTGATACGGTCCTTTGGATTGCAGGAGGGTCCTAATCGTCTCGAATCCGATGCCGGTGTTGGCACCGGTGATGAGCACGATGCGTTTAGAAGACATGATGATTAGCTTGGACCATCGAAATGTTTCCGAGAAGCGTACAGTTCCAGGCAATGAGAACCCTGAGACTGTCGATAGACTTTATACTCGAATACTGTGGGGCTACAGTGTCTTGCATGTTAATAGAAGGCCATAACCATGGAGCTTACGCCCGGACTTAAGAGCCATTGGGGATCAGAGACTTGAGTGATAAACGGGTCTCACAGAACAGGCAAGCGGTTAGGAAAACAGCTTGGTGCGGCGGCCTTTCAGCGCTAATACCAACATTCATCTTGTATCAGTCTAAAAGTCTAGCGAGGACCAATACCCGTGCACTCAAAAGTACAGTAGCGAGCACGAAGTCGCGAGGTTGCATGGTCGAGAAGGCTCCGTGCTGATAATAAGGATGCTAATCTCCTCTGGCAGGTAACGAGTGGTGGCCATCAGTACTCGGTGTTCGGGGCCGGGCGGGTCCGGAGCTGGCTCCCTTAACCCCGATCGCGGCGGTGAGCCTTGGGAGATATTCAATGAGTACTAACAGAAACTAGGTGACAATACTAGGTGCCGCGATAACCTTCTACATTAGTGTACGGGGGAGCCCATGGCAGCTTGATCTCTTAGACCCGCGCCCTCAACACAATTCCCTCGAGAATGCTTGTTCATACTCTTTGACAACATCGTAGCGCAACATCCCTAATTCGCCTTTCACCGGAACAGAGGCGGGACATTACGGACCATTCCGTTTTTTCATAGTTCACCCACCATGACAGTCAGATCAGTTCTTATCGTCGGCGCCAACGGCACATTAGGCACCAAAATCCTCGACGCTCTCGTCGCTGCCAAGTCCTTCAAGCTCAGTGCTCTAAAGAGAGCTAGTTCCCGGAGCAAGCTCCCGTATTCCACAGACCAGGTACAAATCATCGAGGTCGACGATGATCTCTCTTTTGAGGGTCTCGAGAAGGCCTTTAAAGGCCAGGACGTCGTCATTGTCAGTTTCCGACTGCGTAACTTGGAGCAGCACTTGCGCATCGCCGAGGCCGCTTCGGCTGCGGGGGTGAAGCATTTCATGCCCGCCGACTTCGGCAGTATTGACGCCGACAACCCCCGCGCGCGAGAGCTTATCCCGCTGTACCGCTACAAGCTCGCCGTCCGCCAAAAGGCCCAGGAATTGGCTGACAACAACCCCAAATTTGCCTGGACGGGTATCGTATGTGGCCACTTTTTCGACTGGGGAGTCAAGGAAGGGTTCTTGCATGCCTATCTGGACAGGAAAACAATCGACGTCATTGACGGCGGCAACATCAAAGCCTCGGTTGCGACGCTTCCGAGAGTCGGCGAAGCTGTCGTGCGCATTCTTGACCTGGGTGTCACCGAAGTTACGAAGAACAAAACGTTGTTTATCCAGAGCTTCTGCATCACACAGAACGAGCTGCTCCAGAGTCTCGAGAAAGCGACGGGATCGAGGTGGACTGTAAACAAGGTCGAGTCGGAAAGTTTCATCAAGGAACACAAGAAAAAGGCCGACGCTGGTGACGCGGAGGCGATTGAGGACCTTGTTTTTGCTGTCGGCCAACTGGACGCAAATTGGACCGAGCGGGACGGCTTCGCGATGAAGACTCTAGGACTCAAAGATGAAGACTTGGACACTGTTATCGCAGAAGTTGTAGCCAACCCAGCGGTCTAGTGGGCAGCGAGATGATAGCCACTAATAAAAGCTGAATAGATGCAGACACTGGTTACAAGATTAGAATGAAATTAATGAATACTGGCGGCGGCAATCGTAATATGCATGAGATGTTGATTTTCGACCGAACAATAATGAGAGGAACGTCTAAACAAAGAACTACCTAAGCGAACAATCGTTTTTTCTCAGTAGATCTTTGTTTCAGAGACTCGCTATAACGTTGGGAAGATCCGTCATGTCTTCCAGAAAAGCATTGAATTCTGACTTGACCTTCTCCATATCCTCGTCCACGTCGTCAGTCCACCGATGCACATAGACGGTTTTCATGCCGACCTTCTTAGCCCCGCGCAGGTCATACGCATGAGCAGCGACCAACACTACCTCCTCTGGCTTGAGTTGGACCAACTCCAGAGCCTTGTTATATGCATCCGGACTGGGTTTGTAGACTCCCAAGAGTTGACTGGAGAACAACATGTTAAAGCTGAGTCCCGAAAACCGGACAAGGTCCAGTTGCAGTCGTGTTGTACCGTTAGCGTGTACAAAGACTTCAAGGCCGAGATCTTGGCGGAGATTCTGAATGGCTTCTGGGACTTCAGCCCAGGCGGGCTGGGAATGCCAGGCTTCGATCAAACTTGCTTTGACACTGGGGTTGAAATGAGTGGCATGCTTCGGAGATTGCTCGAGGAGATTGTTGAGGACGCGCGCAAATGTGATGTCAACGTCCTCAGGTTGGAGGCCTCTATGATATCGCTCGGAGATTTCAATAAAGTATTGCCTGCGCCATTCCAGGGCGAATGTCGAAGCTTCGTCTTTGGGAATTGCCGAGGGCAGACACTTCAGAACGCTGGCATGCCAGTTAAGGCATGTGCCCATGAAGTCGAAGAACACAGCCCTAATTTTGGGTTGCTGATGAGCCATGGTTGAAGAGGTCATCAGGCAGAGTGAAAATGGTGTGGTCAGAATTAGAAGGAGGAGAACCATAGAATTTACGTCCGTTCGATACAATTAGTAATTACCTAGGGCTGTAGTCATTTGTAAGCTGACTGCTGACTATACTATAGAAATCTTTAGGCTGACATATTCCCCCGCTGCTTTTGTAAAGGCATAATGTGCCTTGTGTTTACGTTTATACATACACCACTATAGCCTCCTGATGGGATTGAAGCGCCAGTACTTTGCTCGAATACATCGACTGTATCATGCCCGGGACTTGGATGATACACCAGAGAAACATCAACAGGTAAGTACCGAGACAATATTGCCACCCGGAGTTCTGCTGGGCTTTGGTGTTACAAGGTTAAGTGCTGCACTCGAGCCGGCTGCTGGTTTGTTTTCGGCGCTCATCTAAGCCGAGGAGCCAAAGTAACAGAGAGCGATGGACGATCCCGACAATGGCAAGCTAAGAAACGTTGGCGCATGAATTCATACGGGTTCATAGAGACGATTTTAGTTAGGACGAACGCTCACTGCGTAGGGGACAGCATGTGGGTGTTTTATACTTTCATTCAAGGAACGTTGGTTCTGTCATTAGTTTAATACATGATCCATGGTTGCCCATGCATGCTAAAATAAGGAGACAACAAGACACCACAAAAAGCCGGCGATGACTCGTAACTACCAATAAGAAGAACAGAACCCTACTCTACCAGCCTAAGAGACAATCCACTGTCAGGTTCTGGCCGTCTCCCTGGCCGCATGCTGCCATCATGCCTTTCGCACTGCGGAGCGACGACATCGACGAACGATATGTCGGGGTTGAGAGTGAAAACTGGGAACGACGGATCCGCCGATCTATGTAAAACGGTGTCATATTGAAGACACTTGGATCTTCGTTTCTGTCATATTAGTACTATAGGTTAACTTTTATAACAGCTAATGGTTTCTGTACTTGTCTTCAGTGAAGGCTCATTGATATCTATCGGCGGAGTACTCGCTTTTCAAGTGTTCTCAAAGGCATATAAAACAGTGCGCTCAAAATGAATGCCACCTCGAACCCAATATCACCAGTGACATTAGCAATCGGTCCGGTCCACCAAGGCTGGGCCATGCAGGGAACAACGAGGCCAAAACTCAGAATACCCGCACCAAGTGCCGCAACACCGCTGGGTAAACTGGAAGTAATGTTCCAACTAAATCGTACCGTTGGGCATCTCCTCTGCGGAAAACAAAATGCTCGACCACGACAATGCCGACGAAGGACGCAGACCAGTACCCGATCAATGCTATAACGTTCTCCAAATTCAAGAAGAAATCATCAGCGGCCTTGATAGCAACCGGGATCATGACGGCTGTGACCACGATCGAGAAGACATAGCGAGGAACCCGCACCAGCGAAGGAACTAACGTCTGGAAGTTGAGTGTGATGGCATACATTGTGCCGGAGATGTTGCCGAGAAGGGTAAATGCCAGACAAACGACGACGAATTTTCCAAAACCACCAGCTGGCGCAAGCATGGCAGCCAATACGCCGCCCACAAGTGTCGAATCGTAGCCCTCTTGCCATTCAGGCACATTGGCAATGGCACCACCGATGGCGCTGCCGAGCGTCATCAAAAGGATGGTGGGCAGAATCAAACCGGTGTAGCTGTAAGCGAACACACGGTACCTAGGAACAGTCAGTTTCGGGGACAGTGGATTTGTGTCCTGAAAGGTCAAGATACTGACGAAGCACCCCGGACCCTGGGGTCAAAGTATGTGGTAAGATCCGAAGCAATACACGCCCACGGAATCATGTAAGATGATACAATCATACCGAAATTCAAGATCGATGAAGCTGTTGCAGGAGCCATGTCGGTTTGTTCTCGGAGTCTCGAGCCTCCGCATCCAGTAGCGATCACTATCGCAACGACAGCGGGGATGAAAGCATAGGTCTCGTAGAAATGCAAGATCTTGTATCCACAGAACGAGATTAAAAGAGACAGGATCGCGCTTGAATCATTGATCGCATGCCCGTCTTGGGCCCAGGGTGGCAAGAAAAGCCGGAGCCAGCGTCGAGAGCAAGGTGAAAAAGAGAATAACAATGAACGACTCTCGAAGACTCAAGCCAAAGAGTGACGGTCCCATCATTCCAAATGTTATCCTTGAAGAGGTCAGGGGCAGACTAATTGGGTGTTCCTTGTGCCGGTGACTCACGGAAGGATATTGGCATTCATGGAACACCAGACAGTGAAGGCGTTGAGGTACCGAGTAGATGTCCGCTCCGCCAGCGGGATTGGCTCGATACCTTGCTCTTCAACTTGAACCAGCCGCAACGCCTTGCGGAATAAGCTGGTGGTGGTTGCGTGATCAGTCTCAATTCTCGTTGTCCCATATCTCTTCTCTTCGTCACGAGATTGCTCTTCCGTTGACGTTGGGCGTGATGCTTCGATGTCCGCCATGGCTCAGAGAAGCCTCTCCCCTTGAATCCTGAAAAGAAAGCGAAACGAGTATGAACAGTTTTTTATGACACAAATGCTTTGTTGAGAAACTTCAAAGTTAGCAACAGAGTGTTGTAGGATCCTGAAATCGGTCTGGCTGCTTGGTGCGCGGAAGAGTGGCAAGTCGATGATGAACGAAGAGATGCACGCGATGACGTTACAGCAAATCAGCCATCAAACAGCGAAATCTGAGGAGCGCGATGGAACTGTAAGTCTCCACAATATGAACGCTGCAGAACAGCCGCAATAAGGAGTCGAAAGGTACATGTCTCAAGAAGAAAGAGGCAATAATGATATAGTCGGCTTCTGAAGACCCTTGGTTTGCCCGATGAAGAGCAGTCGGGATTTGTTCCATGCCAGCAGCCATAACCCCTAGCGAGCGAAGATTAGTTGGTGAATTTGCAGACCAATGTACCTATCCTCTCATTTCCGCCCCAAAAGGTTTCTTTACCGATCTTTCGAGGCCGCCTGTGGGCTCACCACACCCACGGGAACTAGGGCACGTGGTACCTGTTCATGAATCGTGGGCTGGGCGCCACTCCAAGCTCCGTGGACTCTTGATGTCACTCGAGGTCGAGGAATTCTTCCAACTTTACCCTCTGATTCGTTATCTCGTTGCATATCCGCTTTTGACCAAGCCGCCAAAAGGGGCGGGAAAGTTTGATGCCCATCCCCTTTGATGATTCGGGATACCCGTTGCACCCTAGGACGGACGCTTCTACTTGGCGTTTTCGTGTATGTCCTAACCACGCTAGTGCTCTGACAGGCCCTTCTCGACCTAGCAGTGGATAGGATTAGTCTTAACAGCCCGCCGGCCAGAGCCGGCAGATCCGTATGAGTTCGTTGGATAAGAAACCCTGCAATCATAATGTGCTTCCAGATCAGGTTGAAGACGGTGAACCGACCAAAAGGGGGCCATCATTCTACCCGCTACCGCTTGCAGAGAGTCAAGCTCCAACGGTCCCGCTCGATTCCGTCGATCTGGGGCCGGCTCCTCGGATAGTGCCACCTCCGACAGTCAAAGATGAAGCCTAGATCATATACGGAGCAAAGCAACAAACAGCATATGCCCGTTTACGTATCTCAAATCACTTACTTTATCCGGCGAACAGCGATCGAACCAGGATATGCTTACCTTGCTCGCACGGACATGCCATGACCCCAAGCAGCACAGTATTGCTCTCAATACCAGGATCGTGGCAAAGACGATGTGATATTGTCGAACGCACCCACTGCCAGACCTCACTAGCGCTGATATTGTCTATAGCTTCATGCCGATATTCATGGTCAGACGCCGATGCTGCGGGAGAAGCAGATGGATGAGTCGGCATACCATGTCTATGCACACCATCCATGGAAGCTGGAAGCACTCACCAGCAAGAAATCCGTCATTTCCGTTTGTTCAAGAGTCTTTGTGTGAGAGATTATGACTTCGCAAAAGAAAAGCACTTAGCCCCAATCGGGGCTCTCGATGGGTGCAAGCATACCACGATGTCTAGGGGCTGCATACCTACATACTCGATGCGAACCATCAGTCTACACTAGAATCCGGGGCAGCCTGTGCATGCATACCGGTATTTCACTAGCGCCTCCCCTAGATTACCGTTCCGCTGTATCCGTACCTCTGGCCGAACTGAACTCTCCGGCTCCATTGCGCCCGTTATGTACTGGAAACTGTTAACTGCGGCCGTTAACGATTGGACCTGTGCGTCAAACATGGTTACTTTTTCGAAGCAACCAGCCCAGATCGGCGCGGCACTGCGCGGCTCATGAGACACGACACGATTCAAAAGCTGTCAAGGTGTCCTCCTGCGACTACGGATGGCATCGGCCGACTTCCAGGCCCACCCATAGCAAAAGCTCAGCACCAACACACCAAACTCGATAGTCTACCGTCGCATCATGGTCCCAACATGACAAGATGGCCAATCGACGACAACGACGTGTCATAATCATCGCCGTCTTCCTTTTGGGCATCCTTGTCTTTCACAATTTCCGCTCCAGCGTCTCACCGCCGCCTCGTCAACATGCAGACATCCGGCTCGTCAAGAGCAGCTTCGATTGGGCCAACCACCAGCACAAGTATCCGGTAGCTCCGTCCTCCATGCACCGCCTGCCGACCGAGCGTCCGAAAGCCCTCCCACAAGTCCAATTCGACTTCAGCACCAAGCGCATTCACAAGAACGATGCAACATCCGAATCGCGACGGCAGGCGGTCCGAGACGTCTTCGTCAAGAGCTGGAACAGCTACAAGGAGTACGCGTGGGGGTTTGACGAGCTGGCGCCCATCACTGCCAAGGGCAAAAATACATTTGGCGGCTATGCGGCCACTCTTGTCGACGCCCTCGACACGCTTTGGATGATGGATTTGCGCGACGACTTTGAGGCCGCCTTGCCCGTCATCGGGTCTATGGACTGGGACAACACCAAAGAAACGGCAGTCAATGTCTTCGAGACGACTATCCGACATCTCGGTGGCCTTCTGAGCGCCTACGACCTCAGCGGGGAGCCCGTGCTCCTCTCCAAGGCTATCGAACTGGGCGATATGCTCTATGCTTCTTTCGACACGCCAAATCGGATGCCGCCTTTTTGGCTCGACTTTGAGGCCGCGAAGGCGGGAAACCTCGTGGCGGGCACTGCCGACCCTTCGGCATCGCCCTGCTCCCTGTCACTCGAGTTTACGAGGCTATCGCAACTTACCGGGGACCCCAAGTACTTCGACGCCATCGAGAGAATCAAGCGGTTTCTGGAGAAGACGCAGCGCGAAAGCCAGCTGCCGGGCATGTGGCCAGCTCTCATCAACTTCAGGGACCAGTCCGTCACACAACACAACGAGTTCACGCTGGGCGCCCTGGCCGACTCCCTGTACGAGTATTTACCCAAAATGTTCGCCTTGCTTGGGGGGACCGATCCGGCGTACGAGAGAATGTATCGCCAAGCCATGCGTGTCGTCGAGGAGCATCTGCTTTTCCGCCCCATGCTCCCCGATGGCGAGGATATCCTCTTTTCTGGGTCTGCAGTTGTTGAAGGTAACGTAAGACGCAACCCAGAGAGTCAGCACTTGGCGTGCTTTACGGGCGGCATGTTCGGGCTCGGCGGCAAGCTGTTCGGAATCAAAGAGCACATGAGCATAGCCGAGAGGCTGGCGCGCGGCTGTGGCTGGGCCTATAGCTCCTTTCCCACAGGTGTCATGCCTGAGATCTTCGGTATGGTCACTTGTGAGACGCTGGACGGTTGCGAGTGGGACGAGGATCGTTGGAAGCGCGAAGGCGCCTCCGATCTGAGGAAGGGCTTTTCAAATGCTCGTGACCCGCGTTACATTCTCCGACCAGAGGCCATTGAGAGTATCTTCCTGATGTACAGGATGACCGGCAACCCCGAATACCAAGAGATAGCCTGGACCATGTTCCAGTCGGTCGTCAAGGCCACCGAAACACAGCATGCGAACTCGGCCATTGAAGACGTAACGGTTAAAGGAGAGACAAGGAAGCTGGATTCAATGGAGGTACGTTGCAACGAAGAGACCCAGTACGGAAATGTGGTAACTAACGTTCCTGGTAGAGCTTCTGGCTGGCTGAGACACTGAAATACTTTTATTTGATCTTTTCACCTCCCAGCCTCATCAGCCTGGACGAGTATGTACTGAACACGGAAGCACACCCACTTAGACGGCAACTCCCTTGATAGGCGAAACTCTAGGGGTGCCCCCCGCTCTACGGAAGAATGAGACTGAAGCATACACGAGCTCAACCGAGGATTGACCAACACATCACCTCCTGATCTTTGGTGTATAAGGAACACACTGATTGAAGGCCATCTCTCTACGCTTATCTAGCCGGGTCAGTCGCGTTGGTTGTACGCCATGTGGGTGATGATGGTCTGAGATACGGCTTGGTCCCTCCATCAAGTAGAATTTGAGGACTTGAAACAAAGCGTGCTTTGCATCAAAGCTGGATCGCGTTCAAGTTTGGGCATATAAAGGCAAACGCCACATGTATATCGTGTCATAATCGTCTATTTGGTTATATGCAGGCCACGTCTAGGTGATATTGGTCCCGCCAGCCCACCTCCAGCGCAGGTCCCAACTCAGCATCAAATAAATTCATTTTACATCATATATGCAAGTTTTCGTTTACGCAGATCGCTGTCCTCCTTCTCCCGAGCCATATCTTCCTCTCTTAGTGCTTCCACCTCAGTAGCGTGACCGAGGCCTTCTGGAACTCGTATGCGCCTTTGCCGTCCCACGTGCTCTCGGCAATGCCAACGGGGTTCTCGTCACCTTTGTTGACAACCCCGACGTTCTCTCCGGTGACGGTGTAAACCTGAATATCGGCGCCTTCCTTAACACCCTCGAGGTCGACGGTGAAGCTCTTGGTCTCGTGGATGTTGACGACGGCCAAGTTGACAAAGCCGTTGTCATCAACAGTAGCACTGACGTCGAGATAAGGTGTCTCGATAGCCCCTCGGATCCAGTTGGGCTCGGTGGCACCCTCATACTCGGGGGAGCGGACGTGGGTGGCGATGGTAGAGCCTCGCATATACTTGCTGAAGAGTAGCAAAGGCCACCAAGTGGTCTGCTTGGTGATGCCCTCCTTCGTGGTCATCAAAGGGGAGATGACATTGACCGACTGGGCGATGTTGGCCATGCCAACGTACTTGGCCTGGCGAACAAACACGTTCAGCCAGACTCCAACGGCGAGGGCGTCTGATAGTGTGTAGCTGTGGCTTGATCAGCGCTGTTTGACGGGGGAGGTGTGATTTCATCGACAGAGTCTGGACTTACGCTTCCTCGCCACCCTCCTCACCGGGTGCTCTGGTAGGGTCCCAAACATTCCACTCGTCGAAGCAGACCTTTTGTCTCTTACACGTGGGGGGTACCTTATTCTCGATGCGGGCAAGGTCTATGAGACCGCCTGTAATCTCAATGGCACGTTCGGCCGCCCTAGGTGCTGTTCCGGGGGTCAGTTTCATACCCATCCGGTCACAAAAAGTGTCGTGGAAGACGGAATAACAAACCTGTGGCGTTCTCAAGGTGGTTCTCCGACGCGGTATAAAGGTGAATGCTGTGCATGTCGATCAGGGACGCCGTGGTGCTGCCACCGAGGCCATGCATATTCCACGTGATGCACTCCTTGATCACATAGGTGTCCCAGCTACTGAAGCCAGTCTCACCGCAGAGGATCAGCTCTATGGAGGGATCAAGTAGCTTGAGCGCCTTGGCCCACTGGTACGCCTGCTTGGCGTAGTCTTCCTTGGTCATTTGGCCGACCTGCCAGGGACCCCACATCTCGTTGCCAAGGGCCCAGTATCTGACCTGGGCGTATATGAATGAGCGGGATGCACCCGTAAATAGTATAAAGCTTGGAGACTTACGTTGTAAGGTTTCTCACGGCCATTCTGTCGACGGAGGTTGGCGTAATAGGTGTCCTTGTCAGAGTTGCAGTATTCAACCCACGCCAGAGCTTTGAGCAACATTTAATCAGTTGGGCTTGATTCACAGGTGGCAATTGTTGGCGTAAATGTGATGTTTGTGACAGGGAACAACTTACCCTCATCAAGCGTTCCGGTACCGAAGTTGAGGGCCAAGTAAGGCTCTGCTCCCACGACCTCACACCATTTCATGAACTCGTCTGTTCCGAACTCATTGCTTTCAACGCAGACCCAAGCCAGCTCGTGTCTAACGCAGGAACACGGAGTTAGCCGCTTGCTGTAAACACCAAGCCGGGCTGCCAGTACAGGGTCCAGGCACTCGCAGGATTCAACGTTGCCAAGGGGTAGAGATCCTGAAGGCACAGACTGCGACTGTAGGATACGGACTTCTTCTTTCGTACCTCTTGGGGCGCTTTTCTTTAGGACCAACGCCGTCAATCCAGTGGTAGGTCGCGACAAAATTTCCACCGGGATACCGCACAACAGGGCAGTTCAGCTCTTTGAAGGCTTCAATAACATCTTTACGGAAACCGTTCTCATCGGAGAGCGGGTTGCCGGGATCGTAAATGCCGCCGTAAATACATCTTCCCATGTGCCTATGGCGCAGGTATCAGCGAGTTATGACAGAGTGCTTGCGTGAAATCGGAGGGTTCAGGCGAGCAAGAAGCGACAGCGTAGCGAGACGTACTCGGTGAAGCCACCATAGACGTTGTCATCGATCTTGGAGATGATGTGGGAGGGGTTCAAGGTGATGCTGGGTCGCACATCCTCTGCGATCTTGGTGAAGGTTGCCATAGCTGACTGATTCTGGCTTAGTTTGCGAACGGACTTCAGAACAGTACGAACTTGGTGGTGGTGGTGGTGGTCCGATTGAAGCTGTGGCCGGCAGTTCAGTGAATAAACAAGCAGCTAGTTGATGAGTGGCGGAAAATGGATGCGACCTGTTCACTGCCCAACTGACGCCGGATCTAGGCCGGAATTTGAACTCACCAGGGGCGGGGAGGGGCAAGCGGTCAAACAACGGAAACGAACTGCAGAGTGGCACGAGGTGGTAGACAGCAGTGAGGGGTCAATAGTTTGGGCGTAGGCAGGTACCTGGGCAAGCAAGATCAAACTGGGGTTGAACGGTTGGTAAACGGCAAACAGGTTCAAAGCGGAGAAGATGGGCGGCTCTCGAGTCTCGACTCTGCCACTTTCGAGATGGTGCAACAGGCGCACGAATCATGGGGGCTATCGTGCGGAGGAAGTCGACGATGGAGCAAATGCTACCTAGGGGTCTCGGGGGTGGGCTAGTCGGTTCCGAGAAGGACGGGATTGGCATGCATTATCAATACTACCATGTAAATATGGGCGAATATTGGTCTAGTGAGTGAAGGTTTGAAATTGGAATGGGGTTGGGATGGGGTCAGGGAAGACTTGGAGAGAGGGCAACAATGCGGGGATAACTGGAGATGCAAGGATGGGGGAGTAGGTAGACTACTACGTACGATGGTACCAGGCCGAAGTTGAATACCCCGGTTAGGTAACTAACGTCCACCCCCCTACTGTAGAACTTCACTTTTGGTGAATATTCCCACTCTATCATGATGTCGGTTATGGGGGGTAACATCATAGGGGTATCTTACTTACCCCTGTCACCCTGTAGGTAGGAGGATGCAGGCCGAAGCACAATGCAAGTTGCAAGCTCTCGGGTACCACCCTACATAGGCAGAATGTGCGCATACGGGCGTTGGCAGAGGGACACGACGGATTCTGTTGCCTCTTTCGGCGAAGAGCGTGGTGGGTTAATAACTTCCAAGCATTTATAACCAACGTAGTAGGTAGGTATGCCTCGTTCTTCCTCCGAGTGCGGGGCCCAGTCGGGGACCTACATCATCTCTGATTGGCGCGCATATTCATTCGTACGATGTACGGATACAGAAATGGTAGGTACGGGTACGTACCCCAAGCACCCAAAGCTTGAATGTGCCTTCCAATGTCCGTACACCATCATCCAATGTGACGACATTGGATGACAAAGGCGGGTCCATATGGCTCACCCATCCAACCAGAATCCATATTGCCTTGCATGTTGTTCCCCCAGAGTCTGAATGCATGTGAGGGAAAGTACGAACCGTAAGTTCCCATCATCTCATCGAGCATCGAGGCACATCTACATGGATTCGTAGTCTAGTTACCTAGGTACTGGACGGAGTCTAGTTAAATATGCTATAATACTATCCGTATATGTAATATGTATGTCGATGAAATGGGCCATTCTGATCATAACTATTATAGCACGAGTCGGGTCCTCACGCACTCAGTAAACGGGAGAAGGGGGGAAAAAACCCCCCACTGATACTGAGGGAGCCATACAGCAGGGAACGTCCCCCGGTAACTATTCGGAACCGAGTCTTAGGTGCAAAGTCTACGCAGCAAGAGGTATGAATCTTGGACACTCTTTCTCAGTCGCCGACGTCTTCCAACTTTGGTCCGCCTGGTTGGTGTCGTCGGTGTTGATGAGCCGAGCTAGCTTCCCTTCTCTGATCCGCACCAGCGACCACGTAGGGACGTCGGTCCCCCGCAACCCCATCAGCTTTTCCCCGCGTCCTTGCGTCCACATAAATATGGGGACTTGGGGAAGCCCATCGAACCCAATATCCAGACCTCATCCAACAGGCGCTTGCTTCTCCAACGCCCTTTGGACGGCTGTGCGTCTTTCTCGAGACTTAACGTGTGTCTACGTAGTATGTCGGCGTGCTGTGCCTCATGCACCCCAAACACAAACATCCATGCGCGAGCAACCCGCGGACAAACATGGCTCACCCTGGTGCAACCTGGAGCCTGGGGTCGGAAGCCGGGGTAACCGCCACCGATGCCTTTCTTTGATGGGCTGCCAGCCTGGCCGACATAGTAAGCCAGGGGGGTTCATGGCCTCTACCTACTTTCACTCGCTTGCTTCTCCTAGCAAGTCTACCATGCGCGACGCTAGTTTCGCACCCATGCCATGCTGCCCATTGAGGTATCGAAAGCAGAGCATGCCCCTTGGCAAGCAGGCCGTCGGCCGATGTGACCTTTGGGACGAAGTGGATGTGGAGAAAACGTGGGGTCGGCCAAACATTCTATAAAGACGCGACGATCCCTTCGAGCGCATGCGATACAGCACGCGGAACGCCATCCATTGCAGCCCGACGCGTCGGTTTAACCTGGTCCCTCTCCGACATCTTCCTTTGATCCCTTGGGCACTGGAAACCGTTGCCCATCACAGACGAGTCTTCACCACCCATAATCGATCGGCAGTCTTGCCTCATACTCTCCGCCCATCATGGCGCTCCCTCCCAAGTGGTACCAGTTCCTTGTGAGCGTCTTCGCCTCGCTTGGTTCTTTCAACTACGGTTATGACCTGGGTGTCATTGCTTCCGCCATTGCTTCGGCATCCTTCAAGACCAAGTTTGGCGACGATCCCAACGAGATGTATGTTGCTGGCCCTTTGTCCATTTTGCCTTTCGCCGGCTCAGCCGTAGCCCCTGACATGTCAAATACCCCCAGTACCCCCAGCTGACTCTTCATCTCAGTGGTGCCGTCGTCTCCGTCTTTACCGGAGGTGGTTTTATCGGTGCTGGCCTTGCTGGCCCTACGGGTGACAGACTTGGCCGTAAGCTAACCATCCTGATCGGCGCTACCATATTCGTTCTCGGCGGTGCTCTCCAAGCCGGAGCGCAATCGTTGGCCTTTCTCTATGCCGGACGCGCTCTCGCTGGTGTTGGGTATGTGAAGATACCAACCCTTGGTTACTGTCTAGGTGTATTACTGACATGTTCCGCTTTGCAGTGTCGGTTTCCTGACTATGATCATCCCCATGTACCAAGCCGAGCTTTGCCACCCAAGTATCCGCGGACGAGTCACCGCTCTGCAACAGTTTATGCTCGGTGTTGGTGCTCTCTGTGCTGCATGGATCTCCTACGGCACGTATGTCGGATTTGCCGAGGACGATAATAACCAATGGCGTGTCAGCCTGGGAATCCAATGTATTCCCGGTGGTATCCTGGCTCTGCTCATTCTCTTGTTTCCTGAATCTCCTCGTTGGCTCATCGATCACGGCCGCCTAGACGAGGGTCTCCAGACTCTAGCCAAGCTGCATGCACACGGCGACATCAATGACGCCTGGGTTCGCGCCGAGTTTGACCAGATTCAAGAATCCATCGCTTTGGAGCATGAAGGATCTGCCAAGTCCTACAAGGAGCTCTTCACCGACAAGTCTTGCTTCCGTCGCCTCTTTCTTGCTTGCGCTCTGCAGGGTTCGATCCAGATGACGGGTGTGAGTGCCATTCAGTACTACTCCGTCGCCATCTACGAGAAAATCGGCATTGCTGGTGACGAAACTCTCCGCTATCAGGCCATCTCTTCCGTCATCGCACTGGTGGCCCAGTTCCTTTGCATGATGCTCATCGACAAGACTGGCCGCCGATGGCCCTTGATCTTGGGTAATCTTGGCAACTGTGTTACCTTCATTATCGCAACCATTCTACTGGCAAAGTTCCCCCCCGGCTCTGAACATGCCAGTGGAAGCGCCGCTTGGGGGTTTATTGCCATGACATGGCTCTACAACTTCAGCTTTAGCGCCACCTGCGGCCCTCTTTCATGGATTATTCCCGCCGAGATCTTTGACATGAAGACTCGTTCCAAGGGTGTCTCAATCGCAACCATGACTTCGTACGCCTTCAACACCCTCATTGGACAGACCACCTCCGTTGCCCTTGATGACAAGAGCGGGATCGGCTGGCGCTGGTACATTCTCTTCATTGTAAGCCCTTATCTGTTTGACCGTCATTCGATCCGGCTAACTTACTCCCCCCACAGGTATGCAACTTCACCAACGCCATCTTCTTTTGGGCCTTCCTTCCCGAGACCGCCAGGCGTCCTCTCGAAGAGATGAGATACCTTTTTACCGAGGCTTCGCTTTTCATCCCGACGTTGGACATGAAGACGGTGGAGACTCACGATCTCGAGCGAAGAGTCGAGGCCGTTGAGCAGAAGCGGGAACATGAAACCGAGCACATCTGATTGGCTTCATCCTAATAAATAAAAAAAGCATTCAACGATCGCACATTTATAATAGTACCAGATGTATTAACATAAAAATAAATTAGTCTCACTACTGATCAAACGTTTTCCCAAGGTATACAAACGCTGTCCGATGAGTATATGTTCGAAAATTCCAATGTTCCTGACGCTCACGGCTTGCTACCAGCGCTCAATACCTTTCATTCGTGATGTAATGCCAACCTATCCAAAGCCTTGTGACTCATAGACACGCGATATCCTTCCTCTGCCTCTAGATCGAAACTGATAGACGACCTTTGCGTTCGATATATACTTATAGAATCGCTTATCATCTGTATCCGTGCGAAGGGGCTGGTCGTGCGATACCGTGATGTCCATGTCCGTAGCCAGATTCCATCATCCCCGGGCCTTGTCGCTGACGTCCGGGCATAAACCGGGAGAACATGCCCCCACCTCCGCTGCCGACAGGGTGTGCTTGACGGCCACGCTGTTGCTTTCGTTTATTTCGGAAGCAGCAGCAGTAGCAACAGAGAACCCAGAAGGCGATGAAGATGAAACCAGCTATGGCAATACCGACAATGGCACCGGTTGCGAGGCGTCTTCCACGACCAGCCTAATGTTCCAGTGTTAGAGCGTGCTTTGTTGGTCCAATACTTTGTTGCTTATCTTATCTTACCATTCTTACGAAATGTGCAATGAGGTTTGCTTGCTAGGTAGCGCCTCAGCGAAAGTTGCTCAGTGTCTAGTCGAATAATAGATCGGGGGTTCGTTGCCTGCGTTATTCGCAGAATGGAAGGTGCAATAAATGTGGGGCTTGGGTTTGTGGAAAAAGTGTTTCTGGGTAAGATGTAGGAGAAAAAAATAACCTTATATTGTTGCCCATGCCATATTTACTGGGCATACGACATCGTCCAACTGTGTTGATTTCCAGGCTCTACACTACTGAGAGAAAGCGGCACGTCATGATCATGGCCGAGAGCAGCTATGACAACAATATACGTCAGCGAGTAGGTGGACATTGTGGCGCACTCAGACGGCGTTAAGATTAGTGCTCAGTGTCCCGGCAAACAAGTCCCGTCCCAAGGCAATGAACGGCTCTGGCGCTGTCTGGAACTACACACAGCAACACGCAGTATCTCCACAGTGACTTCATCAGGGACCTTGGCTGGCAAGACGCGTAATAGCTAGTGCCTCATTAGGGTCGGGATCTTTTCACGGCGCCAAGGTGCACCGGCAATCCGGCACGCCCCCCCCCCCCCCCCTTCTTTTCTATCTATAATAGGTGTCTCTTCATCGCCATGGCCAAGGCCGGGTCTTCATTGATCAGCAATCTCTAGACCCTAATAATCCAAAGACTTAGTTTTAACTCATGAAAGTTCCTGAACAGCAGCATATCAGATAATCTATTCGAGTGAGATCGCTTCAGTAGATGCAATTTCGTATAGAACCAAAAGGCAGGCTCTAGAGGCGGAGAATAGCTCAAACGCAAACGCCAAGTCATTGGATGAAGAGACATCACGTTCTATTCAGTGGAATTTGACAGCATCCCCATGGGTGGTGTCATCGTGTTAAGAATATTAGTGTTCGCTTTTTCGTGATCTATCGCTCTGACCATTGCATATATTATCAGTCAGTCGAACCGAATGCTCAGGAATTCTCTCCATGTAACTCCTGCATGTTCGCTTCTCAGATCTCAGCTGCATTTCAGAATACAACATACCGAAGTTGGAGACTCTTTGCAACTGTTAATCTCTGTCAGAATAATTGCAGACGCTACTTACCTTCAAATCTGTGAGATCATCCTTGTAAGCGTGATCGTAACCCTCCACAATCCCGGCCTTGTCTCGCTTGTTGTTTTGCCAGGTGCAAACAAAGCGATAAACGAGGCCGAGAACGCCCGCTGTAAGGGACGTGATGACAACGATGATGAAACCAGGTGCATAATTAGGCGCGTCTTCTTTTCAAAACACCAACGGCTCCACGAAGTTGCCTAATTGCATGGTTAGTAGTAAAAAGCCTACTGGCAACCAAAGTGAAAGTGTAAAATACCAAGAGAGTAACCGACGTAGAGCCCAGAAGAGACGATGGAACGCTTATTATAGCCTGCCGCGTTGGCGGTTTACAGCCCACGAGTACTGCATAGCCACATCCAACCGATGGCAAGATATACGAGGCAAGCAACAGAGCCCCTTTAACAGATCGAGGCAAAAGCCACGACATGAGCGATGCCAAGGTGGTTCCTAACTGAGCACCAAAAACAATCCATGTTCGGCAGTTCTTAAACTCGTATGCCAGATAAGATAGTATTAGTGTGCCACTACACGCACCGACTGGCATGGTGAGCAGGAGTGAGTTGAGGGTGCTGAATCCGAAATCATTAATGATTATGGGAACGAACGTTGATATGGGCCCATTCGCAATGATGCAGAGAAATGTAAATGCATACGCAAGCCAGAATCTGGGGTCCAGGCCGAGCTCACTTACCCGCTCCATCTTGGAATGAGTGTTATGGACACCAGAGTTGTTGCTTCGAAGCCGGGCGACTGAAATATGTTGCTCTCTTTCACTGAAACCCTTCGGTCTAATAGGGTTCGGGGGGGGGATAATAAATAGCAGAAGTCCCTGAATAATAGTAATGGCGCTGATAATGTAAAAGATATGCCGCCACGACGGCATGATACTGCCAAGTTTGCCAAAGCCGCAATTGATCAAGGGAGAGAAAATGGCGACGTAGCCTGTACAATTATACCAAATACTGCAACAGACGTTAGCCCACTATTGCGAACTTCTAGCGTGGACGATGGTGGCTCACCCCATACTTGAGGCTTGCTCATCCTTCTTATACCAACTTCCGACAATAAGCATCAACATCGGACTAATACCGCTCTCCAACAGTCCGAGACAAAACCCCTGGGCGTACAAGCCACGATAGTTTGTGTATGTCGTGGTAAGAATCTGGCAAAGACCCCAGAGAGCAACTATAACTGAGATCACCCTCTCATTGAGAAACCTTTGGGCAAGTATCATGGCTGAATAGGCGCCAACGATGAATTTAGAGTAGAATATCGAGGCCGAAATTGAGTATCGATCGCCAACAGCTAACCCTAAATCTTTTCGCAATCCAAAAAGAGCCTTTCTTTATACGTTTCTGTTTGCTTTAGCTTATCTCTAGATGTATAGATTTCCCCTTGACCTTACATATTGAGTCATCAATCTAAAGGTTCGGATACCTATCTAAAGCGAGACGCAGAACCTCGTATATGACGTTGCGACCATGCCGCAACAGAATGGGCAAAAGCCTGATGACACTGGCAATGAGAAGTTTAAGACGACTAATGGATGCCTAGACAACGATTTCTGGATTATCGGCGGCGGACTCAGCGGCATACTTTTACTGTATCGTATTCGTGAACTTGGTTTACGAGTCAAAGCACTTGAGGCACTTGCATCTGATAATTTCAGACGCCCATGCAGAGTTTTTTGGTTGTCAAAATCAAGGAATCGTTAACCTGAAGCTCGATCTGACTCAGGAAGATACTCGTAACTTTTCTCTGTTTCTCAAGAAGTACTGGACGACTGGAACCGGATCGAGTACTTCTCTCCTCAAACAGAGACTTTACGGTACATTTAGTATCTCACGAAGAAGTTTGACTTGAATCAAGACATACTATTTGATAGTCCCATTCTTTCGGCACACTCCCAGGAAGATTTACGTCATGGTTGTTGACCGACTCAGCCGGTGTGACTTACACTTGTCGCTATCTGGTCACGGCTATGAACATTCTTAACGAGCCCGCTCTGTCCAACATCCCTGATGTCCAGGATTATAAAGGGCAGACATGGCACACAGATCGGTGGCCGAGCGAAGGTGCGAAACTTGAAAGGAAGCGTGTGGCTGTTATCTGGACGGGCGCGACCGGTATCCAGATTATTCAAGAGATTGTCAAGACGGCAGGATCTTTGACAGTCTATTGACAGATTACGCATTGGACAGCACCACTACGAAACACAAAGATTAGCCCAGAGGAAATTGCGCAAATTCGGCAGCCATATCCCGAAACATTTCAACGATGCCTCGACTCCTAAGCAGGTTTCATTCACGTTGGTGACAAAAGCAGTGTCTTCGATATGGAAGAGGCGGAATGCCTGAGGCTTCCTGGGTTCTCGAAAGTTTTGAGTTCCTCGGGTGACGTTTATTGTGCAAATCGAGAAGAAAACAAACTTCACAGCGATTTTCAAGCCGACAAAATTTGCCTGCGTATCAACGACCCAGACATCGCCGAGAAGCTTATTCCCAAAAATCACGGGTTTGGTAGCCGTCAGGTGCCTCTTGAAAGCGGTTACTACGAAGCTTTGAATCGATCGAACGTTCGTCTAGTTGACCTGACCGAAAGTCCTATCGAGTGGATTACGGATAAAGACATAAAGAAGCGGGAGGAGGAGTTTGAGTTTGATATCGCTTTTTACGCAACTGGGTTTGATGCCGTCACAGGCTCGGTTAAGGCAGTTGATTTCCATCGGGCAGGCAGGACGAGGCTCTCAGATGTCTGGAGCGAAGGCATCCGGACTTTCTTTGGGATGACCGTCAAGGGTTTTCCAAATATGTTCATGTATCATGATAATGGGACCCTACAGATATTTGGAAATAACCCTCGGATTATCGAATATGCTGCTAAGTGAGTAGCACATTTTCTTCGGTACGCCCGAGATCGGAAGCTCAGTTTTGTTGAAGCTACCAAAGAAGGACTGCGTACGTGGACAGAACATGTTTTTCACTATGGTGTGGATTTGTTGGTAAACGAGGTTGAGTCGTGGATGACTGGTATCAACAGAAATTTGACTTTACGCGGTCCATGACACGATACAATGGGCCTGCGCCTGGTTATACAAAGAGATGCGATGACATAAAAGCCAGAAAGTATTCCGATTTCATGCTTGATTGAAGTGAGATAGTTAATTGACTTAATATTGCGTATTTCGCACGAACCCACCGTTTCGGTAATTCAAGATAGCCATTCCTTAACGGCGCTTGTGTTCTCGAAGATGGCATTGGAAATGGACACCCGCTCAATTCTTCTAGGTGGTCTTGTATGGGACTTCATGTAGACGGAAAATCGTCTTGAGCAATGAAAAGTTCTGGTTTGGTTAAGATTAGGTCTGTCTGAAGCAGAACAGTTGCAGTTGGCATATGGGAGGTATGCTCCGGGGAGGTGGGTCACGTGATATTCACGTGACACACCGCCACCCCGGCAGTATCCACCCTTTCCCTACAACAACAAGGGTATGCCACTAGTGGGTGCCAGAAGTCTAGATACAGCTGTACAACAACTACACATACCACGATCCTACTCATATTCATATATGAATTGGGATATCCCTTCTTGTGATAACCAACAGTTGCAGTGTAAAGGGACTTAGACTCCGATGATGCACAGATGTAAGGGATAAAAAATAAAAGAGACCAAAATTATTCTTAGAACTCAGGAGAACTTTAGGGATGCTTCTTGTTGTGCTCAGTAAAGATGAGGCAAATTATGCGAAGTCATGTTAAATTGGCCTGTCTACCGTGTTCCGTAGTCTCTTCTTAATCTTCGTGGCTCGATAACTTCAGCAGCTGCTTTTTCAAACAGTGCTGTGGAAAACGAGACAAAATGCTTGCGAAGAATCCCTATAAGAATTGTGGACTGGTGCTGCATCAGAACTACAATATTTTCTAGTCAGGCGATAATGTTTGACTGTCAATAATATACACTTGTTGGTTGGCAAATGAGTAATACGGTCCGGGGAGGTGAGCCACGTGACCATCACGTGATCATGCCCGGCAGTATTCTCCACCCTTGCATATCAACGCAAGGGTGCTGCCACACTTGGTGCCCCGATCCTAACCAACAACACTACCGACAATTCACGATTATTATGACCTCGTGATACTTAGCATCCCATTGACCTTGCAACCATTGATACCAACAACACTGGGTCTCACGCAACGAGGCGATTGACAACATGGACATTGCGTTATACATTTAACTCGTGCCCAGTGGCGTTCTGGGGGTAGAGAATGAAAGAGCCCTCGCCGGTAGGGCCTGCTCGTATTATGATTGAAAAGCAATGACCGGACCATCAAGGAGTACTTGCCGTGCTCCCAGGGTTGGAAACGCTGTATGTGGCTAAGAAAACCAGCGCGGTGGGGAGGGAATCAAGCTTGAGATGGCGCCCCTGAAACCGAGAGAGATTACCTTGATGTGGCTGAAGTAGGTTATCATGGGAATATTGACTTGGGATAGCCACAGGCGTAGACGGTATCCGCAATTGCAATTGCTTATCTGAGAAACTGAGATGTGTCGGTTGGATAGCTGGGCCAGGATTGGTGAGGCACACAGACAGTGGCTTCGGTGAGTACAAAGCAGCAAGTGGACTGTCGGCGATGTGACGGAGTGGGATGCAGTGATAGTACAGAACGAGTGTCGTGTTATAATTGGGTCAAGAAGTGGATGTTGGGGTCGCTATCTCAGGACATCGTGGGTGCGTCTCCGTAGTACTATGTCACGTATGACTGAAGTGGAATCGTGACAAGTGGAGTGATATAAAACACCACTCAAGGGGAGGTGATGTCCGTGAAAATTGATTGTATAATGTGCGCTCGGGCCTTGCATTGGATAACAGTGGCTGTCCGCTGCTTTCCCAAGTCTCAAGTCTGTATGTATCAGCCTGGATGATGTACTCCGTACGAATACCTGTTCTGAGCCATCCATTCCTCTGTATCCGTATGTGAGAGGGAAAGAGAGAGAGAGGTGAGATTGCCATCATGTGGCTTCACGTACCTGTAGGTAAAGTGGGTACCTCAGGCAGAACCGACTGGGATTGCCCCTCTTTGCCAATCACCTCTGCCGTCCTGGTAATGTGCCTCGAGATCACCTTCCAGGTTGGATTGCTCTTACTGTTACCACACGAGTGAGAACTTGAGCTAATGAAGCGGATTGAGCGCAAGTAAGCGGCAACTTGGACGAAAAACAAAAATGAAGCAGTCACTGAGAGGGTCCCACGTTCTCAGACCACACAATAGGTTCGTAGAAAAATGGAAGAGGGGGGGAAGAAAAATTGCTTGCTTGACAGGTGCATAGTCAAAGAAATCATAATCACTACCTGAAAGGCTAAAAAGTGCGCTAAATATTACATTGGACGATAGATAGGCACCTAAGACGCCTACTAAGGTATGCGTGCAGGTATTTCTACGAACTGTTACCCGCCAAAAAGATACATAATGCATGCCACCGACACCATTCCCCTTTCAGATAGCTTGAGTGGGCCCAACGGCCGCGCTGCCAATACTTTGGCGGGGCAGGAGCAAGGGTCCAGCCACTAGAAAGGTCGGCCATTAATTTCCATCAAGTGAACAACAGCAAGACCCACGAAGAGCAGAGATGAGGGGAGACAAGAAGGATTTGAAAAAAAAAAAAAGAGTCCTTCATCCTTGCCTGCAGAAAAGCCTGACCGCCTTTCTGGTTGGTTTGTTTACCTTTTACCGACATTTTCCTCCTCAGGCTTCTGTCCGTCACCGTTCCTTCACCTGTCTAGACGTCTCCCCTCTTCCCCTTCCAGACAATCCGACTCACCGACTTCCATGGGTGTTGCTTGCATAGCCGCTTAATCCGATTGATTCTTCACCACCGTCTTCATCTTCTTGCACTGCTCTGGCAATCCTTTCCACCGACTGACTGACTGACTGAACTCTGCCGCGTCGTCTGCCTTAACCGACAATTCCCTCCAATCATGGGCAACGTTGTTTCAGTCTTCTCCCCGGGCAACGGTTACCGTATCGAGGGTTCCAGGGAGGAGCTTGAGCAGAAGCTGGCCGACAGAGAGGAGACCATCACCGTCCTCGAGGAAGACCTCTCCAAGAAGGAGAAGCAGTACACCTCTCTCTCATCCGAGGCCGAGGACTTGCGCAAAAAGGTTCAAGAGCTCGACGCTCAATTGACTTTGTCCAAGGACGAGACCAAGGCCCGCATTGCCACCCTCGAGTCCGAGCTTGCCGCCAGCAACGACAAGGTTGCCCAGCACCTCCAAGCCAACGGTGCCGCCGAATCCCAGCGCTCTCAGGAGCTTGACGCCGCAAAGAAGCAGCTCGACAAGGTCCAGCAGGAGAAGAAGGCCCTCGAAGATGATCTCGCTGCCGTGAAGGAGGAGTTGGCCCAGGCCAAGAAGGACCGTGAGATCCTCGAGCTCTCGCTGCGCGACGAGATCAAGTCGCTGCAGGCCCGCCTGACCGACGCTGATCAGGCCCGCTTCACCCTCCAGGAGACCCTCGACAAGATCAAGGCCGACGCTGACTCGACGACCAAGTCGCTCGACGAGAAGACCGCGGCGCTGACCGCTCTCGAGGGTAAGCTCGCGACCATCGAGGGCGAGCACACCAAGCTCAAGACCGCCACCGAGGCCGAGCTTTCCGCCGCAGGAGACAAGCACAACGCTCTCCAGCAGGCCCTCGACAAGCTCCGAGCTGACTCTGAATCGGAGCTTGCCGCCGCAAAGAAGGAGCTGAGCGATGCTCAGGACAAGTTTGCTGCTCTCCAGCAGACCCACGACGGCCTCAGGAACGGTTCTGACGCCGCCGTATCTGCGGCCCAAAAGGACCTGGCCGACGCCAACGAGAAGCTCGGTGCTCTTCAACAGACACTCGATCAGCGCAAGTCCGAAGCCGACTCGGAACTTGAGGCTGCCAAGAAGGAGCTGGCCGACGTACAAGCCAAGTTTGCGGAGCTCAAGAAGAAACACAGCGAGCTGGAGGCCGGCTCTGAGGAGCAAGTTTCGACAACAAAGAAGGAGCTTGCCGAGGCCCAAGACAAGGTTGCGACCCTGCAGCAGACCATTGATGCCCTCAAGTCCGACTCCGCATCCAAGCTTTCGACGACCCAGAAGGAGCTTGCCGAAACACAAGAGAACCTTGCCGCGCTGCAGCAGAGCAATGACAAGGCCAAGGCCGAGTCTGATCAGGAGCTTGCTTCCGCCAAGAAGACCCTCGCCGAGACCGAAGAGAAATACGCAAAGCTGCAGGCTACCCACGACGCTGAGCTTGAGTCCGCCAAGAAGAATGTTGCTGAGTGGGAAGAAAAGTACAGCACATTGGAGCAGACGCTCAAGGCCCAGCAAGAGGCCCAGTCCAGCGCCAGCGCCGAGCTCGAGTCTGCAAAGAAGACACTTGCCGAGTCGGAAGAGAAGTACGCCAAGTCACAGTCAGCTCAAGCTGCCGAGCTTGAGGAGGCGAAGAAGGGCGTTGCCGATTGGGAGGCCAAGTGTAAGAAGCTTGAGCTGGCCCAGGAAGAGTCGCTGTCCACTTCCAACGCTGAGCTCGAGTCGGCCAAGAAGAGCTTGGCCGAGTCAGAGGAGAAGTACGCCAAGTTGCAGCAGGCTCACGATGCTGAGCTTGAGACTGCCAAGGCGAGCGTCGCGGACTGGGAAGCCAAATACAACAAGCTTCAAGAGTCTCAGACAAGCTCAGCTGCCGAGCTCGAATCGGCAAAGAGGAGCCTGGCCGAGACGGAGGAGAAGTACAAGAAGTTGCTGGAGTCCCAAGAAAAGGCCCAATCCGATTCTAACGCCGAGTTGGAAGCTGCGAAGAAGAACCTTGCGGAGTGGGAGGACAAATTCAAGGCCCTGCAGGAGACGCACGACAAGTCCCAATCGGACGCTGCAACTGAGGTTGCCTCTGTCAAGCAGAGCCTGGCTGACTCTGAGGCGAAAGCTAAGTCTTTGGAGGAGTCTCACCAGAAGGCCCAGGCCGATTCCGAGACGGAACACTCGGCCACCAAGAAGATCTTATCCGACCTTGAGGAGAAGCACAGTGCCTTGCAGAAGACCCACGAAGAGACGAAGACACAATCTGTCGAAGAGTCGTCGCGCCTGAGTAAAGAGCTGGAGGCTCTGCAAGCCAAGTTTGCCGACCTCGAGAAGGCCAGTGAGACCGCTCGGAAGGACGCGTCAGCGGAGCTGGAGAGCGCCAAGAAGGACACTGCCACCTGGGAGCAAAAGGCCAAGGAGTCCAGCTCTGCTAGTGACTCCCTCACCAAGGAGCTCGACGCGGCTAAGAAGGATTTGGCGGCTGCCGAAGAACGCGCGAAGGAGACTCAAGCCAAGCTCGAGGCTGAGCTGCAGAAGCTTCGCGAAGAGCTTGCCAAGCCTGCCGCTGTCAACGGCGACAAGCCCGTTGCCGAGGCTGCCGCAGAGGCCGGACCTAAGGAGACTGTCGCCGCATGAATAAAAATGACTGGAAAGATCAGTGTACAAAGGTGAAGGAAGAGTGACTTTGATTTCGCCGCGGAGGAACATACATCAACCAAGATACCAGAGAAGAGTGCCGTAACGATGTACTTAATAGACTAATCCCCTCATGAGCTAGATGAATCATGACGCGTGAAATTGACCACTTCCACTCCATTATGGACGGGCAGGCACTTGACTGTAGTATTTGTTTTCTAATCCGCTGAATCGCAATTTCTTGTTATATTGGGGAATCTGCGTTGAGTGGCCCCGAGGAATGTGGAACAAATACTTGTATGGCAAACGCAAACAGCATATTGCCATCAAAGGCGATGGTGTCTTGCATGCTACATCACAAACATTGCTTTCGTGGCATGTCAGGTGGGCTAAGACAGATGCTTTCACATAGTAATTATCCAGAGGCATAGCTATGCTATGTGTTCGGATGATTAGTGCCCTCTTTCTTATTTTTTTTTTCCATAGAAGTTTCTGAGTCCCTAATACAGCACATACAACACCTCCTCTACCTCTCTGCTTAGTTGACCTTGGCCTGGTTCAGGTTGCTGATGGTCCTGGCTCCGTCAATGAACTTGCCGTTGCCAACCTTGGCACGGCACAGACTCTTGCCACGCTCCTGGATGTTGTTGTCGCAAGCCAGGTTGGCTTGGGCAATGCAGCTAAGAGCGCCTCCGCCTAGAGATCCAGTTAATGAAGGCTCCTTCGAGATTACCGTTGTAGGTCGACTTACAATCGTTGCCACCGGGGACACAGCGTCCTTGGGCTCCGTTAATGGTGCAGGCGTCCTCCTTCAGGTTGGTGTTGGCAACACAGCATTGGCCGTTGGGAGTGGGCCGGTTGCCGTTACCGGCCTGGCGGTCAACCAAGACGGTATCACGCGGGGCGCTACGGATACCCTCAACGTCGGTGACGCTGGCGCAGGCAGCGGCGGCGAAGCCAAGGAGGACGGTGGCGAGGGAGAACTGCATTTTGTACGTTGGACGGATGAAGTGAAATTCGAAAGAGTGGCAAAAAAACCGACCAGCGGAAAGAGTGAATGGAAGGAAAGAAAGAAAGTGAAGAGTGAATATTGGACAGAGAATGTTGGCTGTGTGTAGAAAGGGAGAGGTAAATGATTGGGATGACATCCGGTCTTTTAATCCTAAATGAGTCCCACGGGTCGCTTAGATCGAGCAAATTTGCGAGTGCTTCGTGATATTCGTGATACGGGGCAACAGCGTGCCAGAGGCAAAACACTCAAGGTAGGATCTGGCTTGCCGAACCCCGACAAGGGGCCCATACTGCGATGTTTCTTCGGGAAGGAGGCTAGGGTTGATACAGGCTAGCCGGGTGTTCAGCCATCTGAATGGACCTTTCTAAGTCTCGTGTTTTTAGAACGGGGCGAATACCTAACAGGCATCAACTATAGACTAAGCTTGATTGGCTTGTCTGCCTGCCGATTGAGGCGATGAGGAAAGATGAGACGAAAAACAAAAAAAGGGGGTAACTACAGGCTACCCTGGACATCCCAAAAGGGCATAATCGCGTGCATCAAGTTCGTCTCGAATCCCTGACACAGTTACAGATGCAACGGTCGCGACTGCTTTCGGGATGCAGAGCGGAATCAATCATCAGTCGTTTTGGCTCCTTGGGAAAGTCAGATGCAAAGAGACGGCAAGAGTTACCGGCCAATACAACGTGGATTTGCTGATGCGCCTCAGGGAACCGGAACTGATCTGATTATCGACTTGAGAGCAGGATGCTCCAGGTAGCATGGCGACGCCGCCAAAGAATCATCTGCTGGGACCGGAATCCGCGAATTACATATATGACTCCGTCACTTGGAAGAGGGCGGCGTCCTGCTATTCAGGTCCCTGTCCCCCTTTTCTTTTTTAACGTGGGCCTGATGTTTTGCGATACGGCGTTGAATCTCTGATTGGGGAAATGTCTCCACTGTGCCCCCCTAATGCCCATTTCCATCGCATCGCTTCTCAATACGGTTATTGTCAGAGACAAGCACTTGGACCTAAAAATGGGGGCTTTGCTGTTTCGTCAAGTGCTCTGGACTCTGCCTTTACGGACCCCTGAATGTTATCCAAGATAAGAGAGGCGAATTCCGATGACTTCCACGTCAAGACTGCAAAGTGGGGGTTACTATTCATTTATATCAGGCATGCCAAAGCATTTAGATTGCCTACTACGTATGATGGGTAAGTACGGAGGAGCCCGTCAAAAGCATTATCCTAGAATGCCAAGACCACCCCTGTGGATCCAGACCCACTTTAATTGGATCCAGCCAATAGGAGCAACCAGATTTATTACCTTTCTTTTTACTTAACTAAGGCCTTAGTTAAAGTAATAATAGTAATAATAATAATTATTATTATTAAATATAGTAGAATTATATATATATTAACTAGTAAATATATAGTTACCTTATAGTAAATTATTAGGAAATAGGTAGTTATTTAATAGTAGGGATTATAATAGTTAATTAATTAATTCTATTATATGTTATCTAACTATAGTAAAATCCTATAGAAATAAGAAAAAACCCTTATTTCTTAGTTAGGAAATCCCTAGCTAATCCTAGTAATATTATTAGTAAAGTTACCCCTAAAAGTAAGGCTAATTTACTACTTATTCCCTAATAATTTACTATAAGGTAACTATTATTAAATAGTAAGGATTATAATAGTTACTTAATTAATTCTATTATATGTTATATAACTATAGTAAATTCCTATAGAAATAAAGAAAAACCCCTATTTCTTAGTTAGGAAATCCCTAGCTAATCCTAGTAATATTATTAGTAAAGTTACCCCTATAAGTAGGGCTAATTTACTACTTATTCCCTAATAATTTACTATAAGGTAACTATATATTTACTAGCTAATTTATATATAATTCTACTATATTTAATATACCCTCTTAGTGCTAGTAGCGTAATTAATTACTATAGAGCCTATACTAAATATCCTCTATATATAGCCTATTTATTTATTAATTATGTTTTAATATCCTATACGTTTTTTTTCTCTATTTAGTAGTAAAGCTTTACTTTATTATTAGCTAATTCTTACTATTAATTTACTTTAAGGCGTATATATTAGTTACTTATATTTAATTAAGCTATAAATATAGTAAATTATAGTATACTAAGTGCCTTTATTAATTTATTAGCTATTAATTTAGTAGACTTTTTATATTTAATAGTAATTTAATTTACTACTACTTCTTAATATAGCTAGTAGTTATAAATATCTACATACTATAGCCTTATTTATAATTAAATAAGCTTCTTAGTAATAAGCCTAATAGTTTAGGTATTATTATAGCTAATATAAATAGTTAGTAGCTATTTAGTAGCTATTTACTTATTAAGTAATAATTTAGTTCTTAGTTATATTAATAGTTAAATACTTAGTATAGTAATTAATTTACTAGTAAAAAGCGCCTTCTTTATAATAGATAATAAGGCTAGTAATTTAGCCTTAGGAGTTAACGTTATTACTATATCTTATTTATTAGCTTACTATAAGATAAGCTCTCTAAATAGCTTTAGTGCGTACGCTTATAATAATAGTTTAGTAAGTTATTAGTAAATAAGGTGTTTAAAGTAACCTCTAACGTATTATCTTTACTACTTAGTGTTACCTAGGAACTAGGTTAGATAGATAACTCCTTAAGACAAAAGAACTATAGTATAAGTTACGTAATAATAAAAAGGACTAATAGATAATAAGCGCTTTAGGTAAAAGACTAACTAGTTAATTACGCTCTATAGTAAAGGACTAATAGATAGGCGTTACTCCTAAGTACACTAAAGGAATTAGGACTTATATATAAGATAGACTTAGACGCACTTAAGAATAGACTTCTATAGCTCTTTAGTAATTAACTTATAATATATTCCTTAAATACTTTTTAGTATTTAACCTTAGTAATTTAATTAATAAGAGCTATATAAGTTGTCTTTATAACTATTAACTATATAACTAATTACTAAGTAATTAATAGACTAGTAAGATAATAATTACTATTAATAAGTATCTTTTTTTACTTACTTTTAGTAGAAACCTTACTATCTAGAAACTAGCTATAACACTTTAATTACTCCTATTAAGTAAGTTAACCTTAATACTTACCTAATAGTAAAATAATAAGATATCTATACTATAAACTACTTCTACCTTATCTAGCTTTAGTAAAAGGAAGCCTCTAGCTACTTCTATATATAACCTTAATAATAAGATAAAAGATACTAAAGTATTAAATAAAGAACTAAGTTATATTTAATAAACCTATAGTATTATTATAAGTTAAATTAAGAAGAATAATTCTAATATAGCTAAAATATAAACTCTAATAAATAAACTTAGGAATAAGCTTAAAGGTAAAAGTAATAAAGTTTATAAACTTTAATTTATAGTTACTACTACTTTTACTAAACTTAAAAAAAAAGAGAAGTTACTAAACTTAAGGAAAATAGCTACACCCTATAAGGGGTAGCTAATATTATTACTACCTTTATAAAAGGATATAATAAACTTAAGCTTAATTTACTTAGTACTTATAATAGTACTAATAAATAACTAAAAGGATTTCTAACCTAAGTATATACCTATTAGACTTTTTATACTACTAACTTTAGAAGTAAAACTAAATAAGTAATCTATATAAAAACTTTTCTTTATAGAAAGGCACTAGCTTAGTATAAACCCTACTTAGAGGAGTTCCTTAAGAATAATAGTAACCTTACTATCTGCTTTTTTAAGATATAAAATATCTTTAAAAGTATAACTAGCTTTATAAAAGCTTTATAGTTACTATTCTAAGACCTTAATAAGAAATAATAAGCTAAGTAAGACCTAGCTAGCTTATAATAGACTAAGTTAGCCTCTTACTATATAGCTAAATTCTAATAACTAGCTACTTAACTTAATATTACTTAAAATTATTAACTTTTACTTTTTATTAAGGACTTAAGGATAATATTAAGGATAAACTTATTAAGATTATTAGCCTACTAAAGGACTTCTTATCTTATCTTAAACTTACTATTAAAAATAATATATACCTCTTTAAATAATACAAGAAGTAAAAAGAAATATAATAACCTAACGCTAATATAAGTAAAAGGTATACCTAAGGACTTAAATAGCTATACTAGTAAAATAAATAATAAAACACTTAGTAGTAAGTATATAATAACTATTAAAGTACTACTTATAGATAATATATAAGACTTATAGACGTTAGTATTACTAAGAAATAAGACTAGTAACTAATATAAGATATTAGCACTATTAAATATTATAATTATAAAAAAGCAGGACACTTTATATAAGACTATAAATAGTTAAAAAGACTATAGTATAAGAACCTACCTAAGCATACTAAAAAGGCTAGCGTAGCTTAGAAGGAGACCTCTTATAAATAACTCTTATAGACTACTTACTATAATAATAACTACTAGACCTATAGGGATAGTAAAAGATAACTAAGATAGTACCTAAGAGAACTAGAGGCACTAAGGCAGCCTAATAGAAATAATTTATAATAATTAATATATATAAATTCTATAACTAAGTTAAAATAAAAAGAACTGTTATAGCAGTAATACTACGTTAGTTAGATATATAACTATATTTCCTATTATAAGAATTTAAAAGTAAAGAGGAAAGAAATCTACCCTAGGGGGCTAATAGACTATAGTAATTACTTACTAGTATATTAATAAGGGGAAATAAGCTATAGATATATAAAATAAGAATATTATTATAAAACTTTTAGTAGGTCCTTCAGTGCTATAAGGTTTACTAGCTACTAGAGTATAGGTATACTAACTACTAAGGCTTAAGGCCTTAGCTACTAAGGCGTAGTGCACTAACTACTATAGCTATAGCGTACTTACTACTAAGGTATAGTATGCTAACTACTATAGCTATAGCGTACTTACTACTTAGGTGTAGTATACTAACTACTA